TATTACTATATTTGATAGTATCATTTTATAAAAGTTAGGTCAATTTTATCTCAGTTTCAATAAATAAGAATTTCGATATTATTCAAAATTTTTTTTCTAATAATTATCTTCTATTGCTATACCTTTCTATTAATCTCACTTTGTTTAATTATAGATTTCATTAAATGGAAGGAAATTATTAAAACCACCTAAACCTAGAATATTTTTCATTATTAAAATTAGATACAAATTATTTATTTATATATTTAAAAATTTTTTTTTGTTTCAGTTTTGAGGTTGTGTTTATTTATTAATTTAAATCTTAGAGTCCATTAAAATATAAGGAAATAAATTTCAATAAAATTTATGTTGATATATGTAATTTAGTAATAAGTGATAAATCCTTTTTCTAAAAATTTAAATAAGAAAGATTTAAACAATGTTTAAGGAAGAAAATTTATTAGAAAATTGTTAGAATATTGATAAATTGCAAGAATTTAAATGGCTAGAAGGTAGCCAAGAATAGAAAACTTTAAATTGGGATTAGAGAAGCAAGAGATAGTTGGAGACTAAATTCTAAATCATATTTACTAAAGAAAAAGAAATCTGTTACATTAGAGACGGATCCATACTCAGAATGTGAGAGATTATTTATATCAACGTTTCTAGAGATTAAATATAAGACACCTCAATGAAGCCAGAAATTCTTACTAATTTAGAATAAATTCAATATCTTTAATGGATTGGTGAAAGTTAATCAAATTGTAAAAAGTTAGGAAAATGGACAGCGGCTTGGAGGGGCGAAAAAATTATTGATGTTGGTGGATTGTACTTAGAGAATGGAAAAAAATAGGGTTTTTGGAAAGAAATTATACAAAATTTTTAGAAGTAAATTCGATTGAATTATATGATTAGAGAAGCTTAAGTGTTTTAATAAGGAGAATATATTCATGAGTAAAGAAAGGGAACTTGGAAATACATTTATAAAAATAAAGAGATGTATTATTTTTATTTATTAACGAAAGAGGTGGAGGTGAATATAATTAATTAGGTGAAAAAAATGGTAAATGGTTGGAGTTGTGGGCAGGATTTTGGGAATAATCTTAAGTATTTTATTGTGGTGAATATTAAAATGGAAAAAAAGTTGGTGTATGGGACATTTTTTATAATTTTGATGGAAAAAATATTAAGATGTAAATATATATTGTGAAATTTATTAATGCATAACTGAGTTTTTAGTGGTGGCGGATGTTATGATAACTTACGAAATGGGATTAAATTTGGTAATTGGGTGGAAATATCAAATGGATTTTATTACGATTCTTAAGTAACCTATAATGGAACATATAAAAAAGGTAAAAAATTAGGTCAATGGGATATTTCATATGCAAATAAAAAGATGTATAAGAACATTCTTAAATTTAATAATGTTTGTGATTAGTGGAGGCGGATATTACGATGAAGTAGGTGATGAGACTAAGGTTGGTTAATGGGTAGAAATATCAGATGGATTTTTCGGTAGTTCCTAAGTAACTTTCACAGGAGAATATAAAAGTGGTAAGAAAATTGGTAAATGGGATACTTGGTTTGAATATATAGGAAATGAAATTATGTAAGTTATTATATAATTTATTTTTTGTTTTAGTGGTGGCGGATGTTATTCTGATGCAGGTGATGGAATTAAGTTCGGCAATTGGGTGGAAATATCTGAAGGATTTTATCTAGATTCTAAGGTCACATATATTGGACAATATAAAAATGGCAAAAAATTTAGTAGATGGGATATTTGGTATAAGAAAAATTATGGAGATCAAAAAAATGAAATGATGTATCTTTATAATATGTAAACGAGCTTATTTATAGAGGGGGAGGATATTATGATGATGAAGGTTGTGGTATTAAGTTGGGTAATTGGGTGGAAATATCAGAGGAATTTTTTAGCTCTTCTCAAGTAAAGCATAGTGGAGTATATAAAAATGATAAGAAAATTGGTAGTTGGGATATTTTATACCGGGAGAATTATGGAGATTATAATCAAAAGATGTATGTTCCTATTATGTAAATGAGCACATGTTTAGTGGTGGAGGGTGTTATGATGAAGTAGGTGATGGAATTAAGTAGGGTCATTGGGTGGAAATATCTGATAGATTTTCTCTAGATTCTTAAGTTACTTATGTTGGAGAATATTAAAATGGGAAAAAAATAGGTAGATGGGATACTTGGTATAAGAAAAATTATGGAGATTATAATAATAATAAGATGTATCTTCATATTATGTAATTGAGCGTATACTTAGAGGGGGAGGATATTATGATGAAGGAGGTCATGGAATAAAGCTGGGTAATTGGGTGGAAATATCTGATGGATTTAATCGTCTTTCCTAAATAATGTAAAATGGAGAGTATAAAAATGGTAAAAAAGTAGGTAGATGGGATATTTTTTATAAGAAGAATTTTGGAGATTATAATGAAAAGATGTATGATTCTATTCTGTAAATGAGTATTTGTTTAGAGGTGGCGGGTGTTATGATGAAATAGGTGATGGAATTAAGTAGGGTTATTGGATGGAAATATCTGATAGATTTTATCTAGATTCTTAAGTTACTTATGTTGGAGAATATAAAAATGGGAAAAAAATTAGTAGATGGGATATTTTTTATTAGGAAAAGAGTGGAAATAATACAAAGATGTAACAATATATATTAGTTTTCATTTTTATTTGTAAGTTTAGTGGCGGTGGATATTTTGATGATAAAGGTGATGGGACTAAATAGGGTTATTGGGTGGAAATACCAGATTCATTTGATCATAATTCTTAAATAACATTTAACGGATAATATAAAAATGATAAAAAAGTTGGTTTATGGGTGGAAATGAAGAAGAATTAGAGAAAGAATTTTAAAAAAATTAAAGAAATGAAATATGATATTTGAAAATTTATTAAATTACAAAATAAATTTATAATATATAAGGTTTTTTCTATTTCTGATTCTATAACAGGGGAATAGCAGGTGTTAGTTTCTATTAAATTAATTTATTTTTTAAATGAATTTTTTGGCTTTTATTTTTTATTTGAATTTCTTAATTATTGTTCATTATAAAGATTCTTATGTGAAGAATTTAATTGCTGAAAAATACTGAAGGTCAGAACTGTTTTTCAAAAAAAGAGGGAAAATTTTATCAAAATTTTAATCTATTGAGCTTAGCTATAATTTTATAACAAAATATCAAAATTGGAGTGGGTATTTGAATAACATTAGAAGCTAGCCAAATAAATCATCTACAATTTATCATATTATTATTATTATTATCATTTTAGGTTTATCAGGACTAAGAACTGACTAGATGATGTTTTGCTAATTCGGAAGCTACTTATACCTATATAAAATGAAAATCAATAAATCTCAAGAAGCACTCAATTTTGAATAATTATTGCATGATTAAATTTAGATAAAAGGAAGCATATCATTTCTACCTTCAGATTGATTTCAAATTTAAATTTTACTATTATTGAAACATATTGCATGCTTTTTATCCTAGATTTAAGTGAAATTTCATAAAAGCGAAATCCAGAAACTATGAAACAAAAAGATAACCCTTATATAATATCTTGATTGAGGAATAGGAAAAGATTTCGCAAATTTAAAATTAAACAAATATCAGCGATAATAATATGATTTTATTTTTTCACAAAATTACAATATATTAGAATATACTTAATCGTCTATTATATTACAAGATAATCCGAGAAATAAAACAGGTATTTTGATTCATTATTATTTGATCTGCTTTAAAAAATATAAGTTTAATATTGTACTCTTTTATTTTACCTTATTATAATTTGATCATAAAATCATTTTGCTTATATTGACTTGAACTACTTATCTTAAGGACAAGGCATTTTGTAATGTAAGAATTTGAAAATTAAGTTAATGAGGTATGTATAAAAGCTTAGTATACTAAAATATATTTTAAACATTCTTTAATTAAGCTTAATGAAGATGATGGTATTTATTTGATATAAATATCAATAAATGTAAAATTAAAATTTTAAATATTAGAATCAAATATAATTAAAGACGATTCAAGTACCTTTTAAGATAAATACAATAGTATAAACATTTACAAATTAACACAATTAAAGTAATAATATTATGATTAACTTTTTTAATAAGTCTTGGGTAATTCTAAATACCATCTATTAATTATTTAAAAATTATAGATTCAAGCAATCTGAAATCTTTACATATTGATTTATAAATAAACAAGAACTACATGAACATTTTCAAAAGTCCAACATAAATAACATTAAAATAAATACTGAAAAATACTTTTCTGACTAGGCATATATAAAATAAAAAGAGTATATAAATTATATTATTATATGTTATATCAATATTTGATTAAATTTAAAATACTAGAGCAGAATTAATATAACTTGTTTGTTTATCAAAGTTATAAATTAATTAAGTATAAATCTAAAATTAAACAAATTCTAATAATTATATATAACTTAAATGAATTAATCTGAAATAGAAATAATATTAAGAAATAATTTGGATTTGAATGTTGTAATACTGATTCATATCAAAATTATTTAATCTTGCAAAATAAATTTGATGTATCAATTAAGCCTAATTAATTATAATAAACATATAAAATTGAGTTCACCATATTGGAGTAATCAACATTGATATTTAATATCTTTAGTATAATAATAATCGCATTAATAATTTAAAAAGGTTTCAATTTAATAACATTTATAATTCCATCTAGTTTTCATCATATTAAGTAATTTATAATAAATACTAGGAATGTCTTCTCAATAAAAAATAAATACATTATAATGTTTATATTTCCTTTTTTTCAACTATTTTAATAGAATAAGACAAATGAACAAACAAGAAGGTGGTATCAAAACTTTTGATTCATCTAAAATTTCTTTATTGTTTAGAAATCACTTTTGATATTTTATTAGTAATATGGTTTTAATAGAATCATTCTAAAGTATTAATATTTTAATAAAGAGTATTAATTACAATGAAGTTGGAAATCATTCACTAGTTTATATCTACATTATTTTAGTTTAAATGTAAACATTTTCCTTTTCTAAATGTTTTATATTTACTTATATATTGTTTATAATAACAATAGATAATCTGATTTGATATAAAAAAAAAAAGATGAACAATAAATTTTACTCTCTGAAGAAGATGACATTATATTAAAAAAAATTGATTTTTCAGTTAAATAAGGTGGTAATTGTGTAAGTATAGCTTTTAATTCTTCTTACTCAATCATGGTATCAACACATAAAAGTATTATTAATGTATGGAATTTTAATAATGGAAAATTAGAATTACTAAAAAGTTTAAATTAACATAATGATTGGGTAAATGCCCTAGTATATAGTAAGAAATAGAATTCATTTATTTCATGTTCAGATGATAAGACAATAAGAATTTGGAAGGATTAGGGGGAAAATGATTGGATTAGCTCATTTGNTATAAAATAAAAAGAGTATATAAATTATATTATTATATGTTATATCAATATTTGATTAAATTTAAAATACTAGAGCAGAATTAATATAACTTGTTTGTTTATCAAAGTTATAAATTAATTAAGTATAAATCTAAAATTAAACAAATTCTAATAATTATATATAACTTAAATGAATTAATCTGAAATAGAAATAATATTAAGAAATAATTTGGATTTGAATGTTGTAATACTGATTCATATCAAAATTATTTAATCTTGCAAAATAAATTTGATGTATCAATTAAGCCTAATTAATTATAATAAACATATAAAATTGAGTTCACCATATTGGAGTAATCAACATTGATATTTAATATCTTTAGTATAATAATAATCGCATTAATAATTTAAAAAGGTTTCAATTTAATAACATTTATAATTCCATCTAGTTTTCATCATATTAAGTAATTTATAATAAATACTAGGAATGTCTTCTCAATAAAAAATAAATACATTATAATGTTTATATTTCCTTTTTTTCAACTATTTTAATAGAATAAGACAAATGAACAAACAAGAAGGTGGTATCAAAACTTTTGATTCATCTAAAATTTCTTTATTGTTTAGAAATCACTTTTGATATTTTATTAGTAATATGGTTTTAATAGAATCATTCTAAAGTATTAATATTTTAATAAAGAGTATTAATTACAATGAAGTTGGAAATCATTCACTAGTTTATATCTACATTATTTTAGTTTAAATGTAAACATTTTCCTTTTCTAAATGTTTTATATTTACTTATATATTGTTTATAATAACAATAGATAATCTGATTTGATATAAAAAAAAAAAGATGAACAATAAATTTTACTCTCTGAAGAAGATGACATTATATTAAAAAAAATTGATTTTTCAGTTAAATAAGGTGGTAATTGTGTAAGTATAGCTTTTAATTCTTCTTACTCAATCATGGTATCAACACATAAAAGTATTATTAATGTATGGAATTTTAATAATGGAAAATTAGAATTACTAAAAAGTTTAAATTAACATAATGATTGGGTAAATGCCCTAGTATATAGTAAGAAATAGAATTCATTTATTTCATGTTCAGATGATAAGACAATAAGAATTTGGAAGGATTAGGGGGAAAATGATTGGATTAGCTCATTTGCATATGAATAACATACTGATAGAGTATACTGTATGACTATAAATTAAAATGAAGATTAATTATTTTCTGGATGTTTTGATAAGAAAATAATAATATGGAAATTAGATTTCGATAAAAATGAATTGATATATCAATATTCATTAAAAAAGTATAATCACAGAATTTAATCATTAAGTTTAAATTAATCAGAAAGTTAATTAGTATCATGTGATGATGTTTAACTGATTATTTGGTAAAGAGGATTAGATAATAAAATGTAATTCAAATATTTTGTTAAACCGTCTAAAGGAATTTCTGGATAACAAGTAAAGTTTATAAAGGAGAATTAATTTGTTTGGGTACCTAATGATGAATAAGTTAATGAAATTTTCATATTTGAATTATAAGAAGGAGTATATCTAGAGAATTAGGAAAAGAAACTTTAAATGAATGAAAATAAGAAACTATAGAATATGAACTTATTTCCAATCTATTATAATAAATAAAGGAATTTGATGATAATAAGGCATAAAGCTTGCATCTATTTCATAAGGGAATAAAAAAATGGAAAGTTCAAAATAGTTGAATAATTAAATTTAGATACAAATACTATTAATGGAGCTGCCACAAATAATGGGTTACATTTTGTTTTTTGGGATGATTAGAAAAGAGAGTATTCAATATATGAATTATAATATCAATGAAATGATAAAATTAAATAATATTTATTACATATTTAATATTGAATTATACTATCAAAAAGTAAAAGAAAATTGATTAATATTTTATGAAATATAAAAAGAGAATAATTTAAAAATAATACTAATTAAACTGAAATATTAATTATTTATCTGAATAATAAAAAAGTATTAATATGAATAGTGTTATAATTAAATTTAATATTTAAAGAGATCTGATATAATTAAAGTGATTATTAGTATATCTCATGAATTACAATAATGAATTTTGGTTTTCTATTATAATTAAAAAGTGACTTCTTATTAACAAATATCTTTAGAATCAAGCTTTATGTACAAAAAGTATAATATAGAAATCAATTAAATTAATTATAAATTGTTCATAATTTACAAAATAAATTGTAATCAAAGTTTAGGAGGAATTATTTTTAAAGTTATTTAAAATTGACCACTTGAAATTGATTCTTTATAATGTACTCAATTACAAATTTATTCAATTTTATCTGAAGCTAAATATGATTATGATGGTTTTAGTTAATCTGTATTGACAATGATTTGTCTTCAAAACATAATTATATATCATTAAAATTATATATCGTTAACTTATAAATTTTTTTCATTTATCCTCTTAATTTTGGTTTATGTTTTTCAAAGCCAAAAGGATTATCCTAATTCAAGATTTCATGATTGATGATCGGTTCAATCAATAAAATAATTAATTGATATTTTAGACCCTTTAAGTGATCTAATTGTAAAGTATTGTTAAAATAAATTTAGATAATTTCTATCTAAATAGGTATAAGTAATATATTGATTAAATCATATTCAATCATTTTATATAACCATTATCAATCAAACGAATTTTTTCTTATTTTTATTTGGAAAATATTGAATGAAAATTAATATCAAATTTAACAATTTTATAGTTATATTAATTCAAATCATATAAAAAATCATTAAATCTAATTTGAGATCCTCATTTTCTTACTTTTAATTATGACAAAGTTTAAGATAACTTTTTCAATGTAATTTAAGGAAGTATGTTAAGAGAAGAAATAAAAGGCACTTATACTTCTAAATATATTAAGAGGTAGATCTAATCAATAGGAAACTCCCTCAAAGTCTATCATTTAAAAAGTGATACATAATGTAAAGTGTATGAATGGGAAATTTAAACAAAGCAAAGATTAAAAAATTAGTTATTTTAGAGAGAAAAATAGTCAAAAACTTATACTATTAAAAATTTCGATTGAGAGAGTGTACAATTAAAAATATTTAGAGGGATACAAAGAAAAGGTGAAAGAAAAAAAATGAAAAGCTGGAGGATTTATTAGAGAGAATCATTGTAAAATAGCAAATGAGATAAATTATCTGAGAATTTCTGCAAAATAAATCTTATATTGAGACAATTTTAGTATATCAAAAGTTTCATATGAAGATCACAATAAGGAAGGAATTAAAGTCAGAGGATGGATTGTATTCAGAAATAATCATGTGTTTATTAATTTTACTTTAAAAGAGAAAATGGAACAGATAATTCCTAAGGAATAAAAATTGGAAAATAAATTTAGAATTAAAACAGATTTTCAAAGTATCACCTATTTATATAATTAATTTATATCAAATCATATTTATTGGTGAACAAATTGATTGAGGAAAATTGGTTAATGGCAAATTGAGAATGTGTCTTAAAAAACAAAGAAGTAAATGTAGAATTATTATTTATTAGAATAACTAAGTTATGGTGATTTCTATGTGTAATAAGAGTAAAAAGAAGGTTTATAAACAGGATTATATAATACTTCATAAAATAAAGGAATTAATTATTGTTTAGGCTTATAAAGAATTTGTTACTAAAAGGGTTTTCATAGCTGTTTGAATAAAAAGGTGATTCGACTTACTTTTTTAGAAATAAGCTAAATTTCACTAAGGTTTAGTAATGAAGTTAGTTCTCAAGTTTTTCATTTTAAGATATATTTGAGAGATTAGAAGTCAAGATGACTTGAGGTAACAATGCTGGACCAAAAGATAGGATGGATATCTAAACTTTTTTGCATTCCAACAGAAAATTTAGTCTTAAGAATCTTCATCTATCCTTTCAGAGTCCCACTTACATTATCTTAGATTATAATTATTATTTACTTTGGCATAGCTATTTTCGATTGTTGATCTTAACAGAATGTTTTGATTTACAAAGCATCGCTCTTATGTTAGGTTTTCCCTTCATGTTATTGGAAGAACCTTACGACACCTTTTTTTTGTGAATTTGGTCCTTTCGGATACATTATGATCTCTCATTCTTGGATCGTTTTCTTAGTTGACCAAATTCTAGTTGCAATTATTAGAAGCTATCCCTAATTTATTCATAGCTTATTTCCAATTATTATTCCCTAATGGATTTCTGTTTCATATATGTGCACAACAGAAAGTATAAATCTTGTTCGTTTCTTTTTAGAGATATGAATTCATCCTTCTTAATTTTTTTTGTTATTTCTCATTTTATTTTATTTAACATTTTATTATTTAGAATAATTGATTCGAAAATCATTTTTAAGTAATTTAATAAGACCAATACCCAATATGCAAAATATTTAATCTAGCTTAGAATTCTTCCCTTATGAATTAATTCCTAAGATGACTACAAATAATAGATATTGTCATGCTATTGCTATAAATCATAACAATACGATTGTAATGGTAGAGGATAGAGGCAATATAAAAGTATTTAACTTAAAGAATGAATCATTAAAATTAATTCAAATAATTTAATAACTTGGATTTTCAGTTAGTACTATTAACTTTTTCAAATCATAATAATTTTTTGTCTCATCTTCATATATGGGCGATATTATATTTCGATCTTCAATACTCAAATCAACTTCAAAATTTCTATTGAAAATATCAGAAAATATTACCTAAATTAATTGTTTATTAATAAACTCTCCTTAAGAAGATCTTATTATAACTGGATCCGCTGACCATGCTATTAGATTTTATTAATCAAAATCTAAATACCCTTTAAGTTGGGTATGCTCATAAACTCTAATTGTGCATTTAAACTGTGTTTAAGGATTATCACTAAATGAAGAAGGAACAAAATTAATCTCCTGTGGATCTGATCTAAAAATAATAATTATGGAAGGTTCAAATAAACAAAATTGGATAGTCAAATAAATAATATAAACATCATGGAAGGGATTTAGAATTAATTTCATTACTAATGATATATTCATCTTTTAACAAGGATTAAGAAATGAACTTGATTTCTACATGTTCAATTCTTAATCAGGTTTATACTCTCTAGATAAAAAACTCCAAGTTAAAGGTGGTTAAAAATCTTGCTATAACCTATTCCCATCAAAATATGTCAAATCAAAATAGCTCCTTCTTGTAAAAAATGGAGAATATGTGAATTTTATTAGAATCATAAATCAACCTTCATCCAATTAGGATTTAGAATGCACTCTTGTTTAAGCAATAAATTTTGACACAGGATTGACATTTGGAACTTTAAGTGATGATGGATAATACTTAATAACTTGGGATTATAATTCCTAATAGATAAAAGTCAGAAAGCCTAAAAGAATAGTTTGAAGAATGATTATCAATATAAATATATTCAATTAAAAAAAATGTTTTAAATATTGATTCTTGAGTATTTTTTACTTTTCGCAGAATTATCTTTAATTTTAATAACTATTTTTATTTTTATCTTATTAAATTAAATGATCTTTATGCATATATTTTATTAGAAATTCTTAAATTTTGGATATTTATGAAATATTTTTGTGAAATATTAACAATCAAACTCTGTAAAAAATTTAGTAATTTTTATTTATAAATTATAAGTTGTTATTTGTATTTATGAAAATGAGAATAACACATTATAGATTATCCATTTAGAAAATAAAATATTTGATTAAATTAAATTATAGTAGCACTATTCATAAAGAAAATTTAAGGTTTTCTGATCTAAATTGGCATGATTTAATTTATATTATAATTGTTAGATATACAATATATTGTGAATTAATGGATAAAAGAAATTAATTACTAAAAATAATGCTTTAAAACTATAGAATATTATTTATATTTAATATAAATGTTAATTAAGAATTTTTATCATTTATCATTATTTTATATTCATTTTCAATAAATGAAATTAAAATTAAATTTAGATACATTGAAATCATAAATAAATAAGTCAATCAAATCTATAAAACCTTACACTTTACTAAACTGTTCTGCTCTTCTAAATCAATATATTGAAGATCTACTAAAAAATTCGTTTGGTAAATTATTTTAGGAATAGAAACTGCTAAAAATTGTAAAATTCAATTCAAAAATTATTGAAAAATGGTTTAATTTTACATATTTGATAATATACTTTTATTAACAAAAGAAAGAGTATATAAATTATAGGTAATCTATATAGAAGGTAATTTGTAGATGTAACAATTAATATTATTATTTTAAGTATTTCTCATTTAAAATAATTATTTTTAGGAAAAGTTTGATGTTTTAGGTTATATTCTTAGGTCTTAAATCAGATCTCTCGAAATGCTACACAAAAAGCAATTCTTTCAATTATATTCAGAAAAATGTCAGTCACAAGATGATAATTATTCATTTCACAAAGATACGATTTCTTAAAGACAAGAATCTATACTAATTTCAAATATAATCAAATTAAGTTTTTAAATAAATAAAATAATAAAAAATTTTACCTATTAATCAATTTCTAGTTTTTCAAAATTTAAAAATTTTTTAATTATTAAGATGTCATTTCCTTGAGAATTTTTCAAAATTTTCAAATTTTTTCCAATAAAGCTGTCCATCAAATCTGATGTCCATTCTATATTCTAAGGTTGTTATAATTGAAATAATAGATAATTTAAGACCTTTAGATAGAATGCCGATTGATTAAACGAATAAAAATGATATATTTTCTGCAAAATGAAATTAATTAAATTATTCACCATGCAATTTACAAATTACCATTATCTTAAAATAAAAATGATTTTAAAATACCCTATACCCTAATTTATTATGTTCATTTATTCAAAAATATTTTATTAACTGATGTAAAGTGTCTAAAGTTTTCCAAATAGAAATTAACTTATATTTATTTAAAGATGGAAAAGATTCATTAGTGAATAGGAAACTCTTTTCAAATAATTTATTACAATACAATATGATCCTGGACCAAAATATCAATAAGTAACCTTTTAACAGAAGTAGAAGATTAGAGGAGATAATTTTTAGGTTCCAAATGGTCAAAAATATAGAGGAAACTAAATAGATAAAGTTAAACTTATTTCATATTTTATTCAGCATAATTAATTGAAAAAATAGATTCCATTATAATTTTATTTCTTCAGATCTGAATTTATAAAACACATATAATTCAAAATTATTATTTTAATAAGCTAAGATTGTAAAATTATAAATCACTTTTGAACAAAATTGCTTTTAAAAAATTTATATTTAAATACTTAAAACATTAGATTAGAGTTGTTTGAACCAAATAGAATTAAAAGAAGCTTTTTCTAATTATGATAGGATTGTATGATGAAAAATTACTATATTTAGAAAACAAAAATATTTTAGGATTATCATTTGAGATTCTATGAGTATTTAATAATCATTAAGTATCCATATTATGAATTAAATATTTAATACATTTTTAAAGTTAAATTAAACTGCTTATTATATTAAACATATGAATATAATTAAATCAACTCTAACTTATTTAATAATAAAGACTTCAAATATAAATAACACAGTTATATTTCTCTATGTAACTAATCAGGGCATAGTAGTTATATTAAGAAGGGTTTTATAAAATAAAAAACCCTAACAAAAATAGAATATTAAGTTTTTATATCAATGAATCTTATTTTCAATGAAAAATTTATAAAATTATTATTGATAAAATTATGAATTTCATTGATATCTTAGATCCAAATAATGAACAACCATTGTTGGCATAACCTTAAGCTAGATATTGTTCATCACAAGTTGCACAGGATTCTGATCCTTAAGCTTTGATACAATATATCTGTTAGGTCTATCCAAAAACTCTAATAGGTGTAGGCATATCGGATAATTCACCATCAATAATTACTTACTCTAATGAACTTGTAACCTAAATTTTTAGTCCATTCCAAACTATTCCAACTTTTAATTCAATTTTGATTTAACCAGGTTAGGTATTATCAAAACTAATAATTTTTGCTTACTCTAGAAGTCCTTCACCAACATACCATACTTAAGGGTGAGTCAAGTAAATTTACTTTTCGTTTTGGCTTTAATAAAATTGGTAAAGAATTATTTTATCGTTAAAATGGAGATCTGGATTTATATATTCAGCACATTTGATATCAGCGCAAAATTTTATCTCTTTTTCCGCAAAAAAATAGCAAAATAAAGGATCACAATTATAAAAAAAATTTATTTAATATAAAGATTTGAAGCCTTAATTTATTAATGTTGTAAATGATTTATTAATAGTGAAAAAAATTTCAAATTAATTAATACTTTATAAATTATTAGATTATCTATATGAAAAGACAAAAGCAAAAAATCCTCTATATATATACTAATGTGAATTAGATGTTTTAACCATAAATTATTATAATTTCTCCCCTTCTAATGTAAAAGAATAATATCTCTATTTTTTTTTAGAGTTGTTTGAAGCCAAAATAGTTAAATCAGTTATCTCTAGATAATCTGAATAAGTATTAGAAGTATATTTATATATTTTTAAGTTAAAACATATTGAGTCCGAAAAATTTCCATCTTCATTTACAAGCCCAAAATAATCAGGATCATTAAAATAATCAATGTCAGAATATCCAATTATAACATTGACTTTTGGTACTTAATTTAAATCTACAATAATTTTTCCAAACATCAAAGGTTTTTTATTAAATTTCTCTATATATTTATTACACTGAGGATCCCAACATTAAATAAAACTTCCTAATCTCAAATGCATAATGATAAAAAGGATTAGAAATTTTGTTATCATTTTTATATATTAAAATATGTAGTAAAATTTATGATATAAATAAAAATGTTTAGAATAAATTAGTTATTCTATTTAGAATAAAATTTATATTTGAAAGATTTAAACAAAACCTAAATAAATATAACTGATTTCATTTATAATGGTTTAATATTTTCTATATCCAACTTATTATTATTTATAAGAATCACTTATTCATAAGATTCTGAATTATTATAATAATCTTGGAATTTCATGATTATTATAAATTTATTAAATTCACTAAATTAATAATTTATTTATTAGGAGTTTTAAATAACTCATGCTAATAACTGTAAATATAATATAATTATCTTTTGTTTGGATAATAATTAAAAGAACAAAAAAAAATTCATTAGAAATTAAAAATATATAATAATTATTATAAGAATTCTTATTACTTTTATGATGAGATTCATTAATTCATTTAATAAAAAAATTAATTCAGAATCTTAATTGAACATAAAAAATTTATCAAATTGATATTTAATCAACTACTTGATTAATATAAGTAGAAATAAAAATTATATTATATACTGGATCCTTTTTTATTGAGAAAAATATATTAAGTAAAGTTAGCAATTACAAATTTTATTTTTGTAAATTCATAGTTTGGATAAGGATAATAACTTGTGAATTGTTTATATTAATACGGTATATCCTGTTATTAGATGTTGTTTTCTGATATTATTTCTATTCTATCTTAAGCATAAACTATATATAATATAAGTTAATAACATTTTAGTAGAAGCCTCATCTATGTTATATAAAGGAGTATTAGTATAGAGAGTTTAGACTAGTTTATTGGTATGTTTAGTATATCCACATTAGATACCATTTAATATTTTGTGAAAGTTAAAAGAATCAAATTGATTTATTATCTTGGAATTAGTTAGCATAATTAGGAAAAGGAAATATTTCTTTAAGTTTAAGATATGATATAACATAATTTAATTATATTTAAAATGTTATAAGCAATATATTATTTATTAGATAATAACAGAGTTATGATGGGAGAGTTTAAGAAATATAATTATGTTAAAGGTGTTTTGTACTTTCATCATGATTTACTTAATAACTTTCTATGTCTAAAATCCTGTTAAACATTACAATATAATCCCAAAGTTTTAAATCATTTTATTAACTCTAATAGTAAAAAAAAATCAAATATTGATCGAAAATTTGTGCATCGAATTTCTTAGTTTGTTCTTCACAAAAGAAATATGTGGTAAGTTTAAAATAATTATATTTTAGATCATACCAAATTGAATATGTACTTATTGAGCAAAAATCCTAAAAATTCTGAGTTACAAAAGATAACAATCAAACTATACAATTAGGGTTAATAATCTATAGTACATAGATAAAGGGAAGTTATATAAATATTTTAGTATCCACTTTTTGTATTTCTTTAATGAATTAATATAAAATGAAATAAAATAAAATATTACAAAATTATAAACTAGGCAATTTATAAAATACCCTAAAAAAAAGTGAAGGACAGCAAAAATTAAAAATGATCCTAAAATAGTACCCAGTAATAGTAATATTGCAAATTAAAAGTATATGAAATTAGCTGTTCATATAAGAAAAAATTTGATATACAAATAATTAAATATCTAAGCAAGGCAATCAATAAAAGCAGACATTTAAAGATATTTGATTTTTAAAAGACAACCAAAATCATCGAAAAAATTGAACATACAATTTGGCATCCTAGAAAAAATGGAAAATAATTCTTATTCTAGAAGAAGAAGTTAAAAATTAATAATTTATCAAATTTTTGATATTTATTTCATAATATATTTAAACATTAATGTCATTACAATAGAATTTAATTAATTAAATCATCAAATTCATTTTAAATTCACTATTTTTAGTTATCGATAAATAGATTTCATTTCAAATTAAAATTTTCCCCTATTTTGTTATAAAATAAAATTTTACATTTACTTAATAGTCTTTTTTTTAGGCTTTTTATTTTTTCCTGTTTAAACAATTTCTAAAATTTTAATCAGCCTTTAATTGCAATATTAACTTAATCATTTAGTTTAATTTAAATTGGTACAATTTTATTGAATTCTATTATTTTAAATATTAGATTATTCATTATTGTATCAAAATTACTAAAATTGTATACATATTTATATTTTTTTTTAATTTGTATAAAATGTTTTATTATTTTATTAAATGACTTAAATGAGATATACTCCTAATGTAAAAGATACTTATTGAAATTTGCTAATATTTTAATATCTTAATTAATTGTTGTTAAATTTACTTCCAAACAATTTTTCAGTTGATCAATAATTTATTAGATTTTACTTCTTGGCAAATTGAAAATTTTATCAATTATTATCACAAATTGAATATAATAATTATAATGATCTAAATGAATATTTTTATAAGCATTAATAATAGCAAAACTAAGAATATGTAAGAGTAAATTTTAAGTTTAGCATATTCAGTTATTTAGAAAAGGTTAAATATTATCATATATTTAATAAAAACAATAATTTATTAGCTATACAAATTAAAATCTGAATAAATTTTTAAAATAATTTTATTATTCAGTATATTTTATAAATTTGATGTAATGATTAAAGAATACAAGGATGATTTTCTTTACTTTATTTCTAATTTATATCTTTAGTCCTTGTTCTTGTTTAATACAAGATTATTTTGATTTTTCTCCTTATTAAAGGCACACTTTAAACAAATATTAATTGCCCCAAATGAATTTATTGAAATTATTCATAAAAGAAACCTTCAAATGTTATTTTGTTGAGCAGTTTAAATTATTTCTTTATTGGTTTTTCCACCCAATGATTGGGTTTCACAAAACAATTTCTACAGTATCAGATAAATAAAATATTTAAGAACAATGAATTTTTAATTTTTATTATTTTAGATATATATAAGATTTGTATAAATAATAAGTTTAGACTTTATATTCTACAATTATCCAATATATAATTCTTAATATCTACTCTTTATTATCTTATTTAATATGACATACTTAATTTTTATTGAATATTTAAAATCCCATTAATTTTCATGAAAAATTATAAGAATGTACATTTCTTTAAACAAAATATTTAAAATATCTAATATTTAATATTAAGAATCTTCAATACTTAAAGCAACGAATTGTAAATATAATGTAACAGGATTATCAAGCAAAAATAATTTTTTTTTACATCTATTTTTTATAAAGAGAATCAATATTCAGATTTCATATTTTACAATAATTGAGTTAACTACACTACTAATTATATTTAGTTTATTCATATATAATTTTTTTGTTCTAATTTTATACATAAAATTAATTTATTATAAATTAGTCATTATTATACTAATAGAATTTGAATTTTGACAGCTCCAAATATATCTATAAAACCTAAATGATAATAATAATTATTTATAAATAGAAAATTTAATAATATATGATTGAGTGCTAAGTATCTGATCATAATAAAGAAGAGATACTCTATGCTTGCTTAAATATGAATTGCTAAATAAAAAGAGGTTGTTGTTTATATTGCATTGAATAACATAATTTACATAAATAAGATTTGAAATCAATGAAATAAATTACATTATGGAAAAAAAATATAACTTAAAGTTACGATACATATTCAAAAAAGATAAGTTAAATTATGGAAATAATTGGTTAAGCTTAGNCAAATTAAAATCTGAATAAATTTTTAAAATAATTTTATTATTCAGTATATTTTATAAATTTGATGTAATGATTAAAGAATACAAGGATGATTTTCTTTACTTTATTTCTAATTTATATCTTTAGTCCTTGTTCTTGTTTAATACAAGATTATTTTGATTTTTCTCCTTATTAAAGGCACACTTTAAACAAATATTAATTGCCCCAAATGAATTTATTGAAATTATTCATAAAAGAAACCTTCAAATGTTATTTTGTTGAGCAGTTTAAATTATTTCTTTATTGGTTTTTCCACCCAATGATTGGGTTTCACAAAACAATTTCTACAGTATCAGATAAATAAAATATTTAAGAACAATGAATTTTTAATTTTTATTATTTTAGATATATATAAGATTTGTATAAATAATAAGTTTAGACTTTATATTCTACAATTATCCAATATATAATTCTTAATATCTACTCTTTATTATCTTATTTAATATGACATACTTAATTTTTATTGAATATTTAAAATCCCATTAATTTTCATGAAAAATTATAAGAATGTACATTTCTTTAAACAAAATATTTAAAATATCTAATATTTAATATTAAGAATCTTCAATACTTAAAGCAACGAATTGTAAATATAATGTAACAGGATTATCAAGCAAAAATAATTTTTTTTTACATCTATTTTTTATAAAGAGAATCAATATTCAGATTTCATATTTTACAATAATTGAGTTAACTACACTACTAATTATATTTAGTTTATTCATATATAATTTTTTTGTTCTAATTTTATACATAAAATTAATTTATTATAAATTAGTCATTATTATACTAATAGAATTTGAATTTTGACAGCTCCAAATATATCTATAAAACCTAAATGATAATAATAATTATTTATAAATAGAAAATTTAATAATATATGATTGAGTGCTAAGTATCTGATCATAATAAAGAAGAGATACTCTATGCTTGCTTAAATATGAATTGCTAAATAAAAAGAGGTTGTTGTTTATATTGCATTGAATAACATAATTTACATAAATAAGATTTGAAATCAATGAAATAAATTACATTATGGAAAAAAAATATAACTTAAAGTTACGATACATATTCAAAAAAGATAAGTTAAATTATGGAAATAATTGGTTAAGCTTAGTAATACTTATCTAATTTAGGATAAGATTTAGAAAAATAATTTGATTAAATTATGAATGATGAATTTGAAAAATAAGTCTTCAATTTATTAAGAATCCAATAATTATCAACATCATTCAATTAATTAATATCTAATTTAGAGACATTAATGGAACCTATTTCTTAAATATTTTCAAATGTTGAAGCATCTTCATAAAACATATGTGTTAAGATCTAATCAATTTTAAATAACTCAAATGATAAATTACAAATTATGGAAAAAGAATCATAAACTGAAGAAGTTAAAAAGGGAGAGCCAAAGGTTGAACCAAAAAAACAAAAAGTTAAAACATACAGTTATTTAAATATAATAGAAAACACTTATAAATTAAGGAAGGGAAATGATTTTGATATACATTAATATCCTAAGTAGTGTAAATCATCTATTGAAAATCTAGATGAATACAAAACTATTATTTTAATTGGAACATAAAGTTCAGAAAAGTAGAATCTAATAAACTTATTTGTAAATTATTATTATGGTGTTGAGTTTTAAGATCCTTATAGATTTGAAATCATTGATGATATCGACATAAAAAAAGAAAAACAAAATGATGAATATGAAAAAATGAAAGTATATTATATTACTCCATAAAATGGAAAATCAGGACTTAGAATTATATATACACCAGATTATAGTGACGATCTAAATTATGATGATCAATAAATTTGCACTAGCATATATAATGTAATATCTAATTCAGCTTAACTTAATTAAAATATTCTAATTGGATTTTTAATTCCAAGAAAAGTGTAAATAGGTTCCTTTTTTATGTTGGAATCTATTTTATCTTAATTATCAAATAAGTTAATTAAAAACATTGTCTTTTTATTTCCTGATTCTACAGATGAATCTCCTAAATAGAAGGAAATATTGTAATCTAAAACACAAAAAATTAATGGAATACAATCTCCTGTTTTCTAAATGATACCAACCATGAATCATTTTTGGTATCTCAAATTTAATACTAATACTTTATTTAATTAAAATAAAAACTAAGACAATTAATACCTTTGGGAACTGGGCAAGAATAATTTTTAATTACTTCTTCAAAATTATTTATAAAATAAAATCAATTTAAATTCACTATAACAGATGAAATAATAATATGATTAGTTTATTAATATCAAGTTAACAGGTGTTCAATAACAATTGAAGAATAAGTATTATGAGTTGTATCGAAGAGACAATTTTGATTGTAATTTTAAAATCATATTTGAGCGATTTAAAAAAGAAATAATTCCATTTATATCAAATCATCATATAGATAAAACTAAATCAGAAGGCATAAGTACGTTGAAGCACTATAAAGGAATTATGGATAATTAATATAAGGAAATTGAGAAATTCAAATCTCTAGACTAAAAAATATATAATAAAGATTTTGAAGAGTTTTATGATCTGCTTAAGAATTTTTGGAATCTTATGTAATAAGAATATTATCCGTGGTCTGTATATTTCAAATTTAATTCAATTTTAATATCTATAAATAACTGTTAATGGAGATATTATCAACATTTAATTACCAAAGAACAAATTTAAAAGCAAGAAGGTTGGGAAGAAAGAGTTAACCTATTAACTAAAAAGAAAATCCAATATTATTCTGATGGTTATGTTGGAATGCCAAATTTAGATCAAATTGTTAAAGAATGGTACGATAAAAATATTAGATCAAAATGGAGATATGTAGAATATAGTTCTATGACTTATAAAGAATATGATAAAGTTTATCAGATTTGTGATTATGATAAAATTTCAGTATCTGAAATTTTTTACAGAATAGATTAGGGTAGTTAAAAGGAAATTGACATTTTGATTCAGAAAATTTGGGATTCTGTATTAATTTGATTATTAACTGATTTTGAATTATAAGATATTTGTTTTATTCAATTATTAATTCGAAATGAATTGTTTAATTTATCATAAACCCTGCTTTTTAATGTAGAGATTTTTGTGGAGATACATTATTTAATTATCTTTTATTTTATTTGACTATTAGAAATCGTGATCACTATACAAATTTAAACCTTTTTTTATAAGTTTATAAAATCTGGACTTTAAAATATGAATCAAAGATTAAATATTTATCAAGAACCCCCTATTATATATTCTTACAAAAATAATAATTAATATTGATATCGAAAAGCAATATGAGTTGAATTTATAAATAAATTTATAGAAATTTTAACTTTTGATATTACAATAAGTTTATATTATGTAAATTTTCATTTGATTTATTGTTTTTAAAATCAAATTTGACATACTTTATCAAATATCAAATTTATATTCATAATATTTCTGTTTGTAAATTTCTTTTTAGACACAATGAAAATTGAAAACTTAGTAGAAAACCCAAAATTTACTTCAATGATTGAATCAAAGTATAACATCTGTCTATAGATTAAGTAATGATGAAATTTAAATTTCAAACAAATGAGAAATGAAAAGAATATCTTTTGAAATTAAGATTTTTTTTATTAGATGACTGATGATTGGTTTTTTTTTAAAACAAAATTTCAAGCAATAGTTTATATTTTGATGATTAATTTTTTCACTACTAGGAGTTAACTTATTAACATCTTTAGCAGTAAGATAGCATATGAAAACTTATCAAATTTAAACTAAAATAATTTAATATTAATTAAGGATATTTTTTTTGAATCAATCAAAAAGTAGTTATTTAAAAAAAAATCCTTTAAAATTCTGTTTTTTTTAATATTTATTCAAAAAGAATACCAAAATTAAACAATTTTTTCTAATTGTTTAGAAGATATTGCATAGACAATTCATCTTTAAGACAGTATTAGTTTTATTTAATATATTACTTTGGTAAATTTGGACAAAATATTTATAAATAAAGAGAACAGTAATTTTTAATTAGTAATTCTAGAATTTTTATAATTATTCTATTCTATTAAATTAAGAAAAAATGTTAATTAATTTTCTCCAATAAATTTAAATTACATTATTAGGTTATTAAAAATATTTATTACAGTATTAAATGAGAATTTATACAATAAACTAAGTTAATTTACAAGTTATGAATAATGCTTAAGTAAAATCAAATAAAAAAGAGAAGAATTAATTATAAATATATATTTTCCAAGTCATTTTTAAGGAAAACTAATTTTTGGATAAAATGTTTGATTATTATTCAAATAGATAAAAGTCTCCCTATAAGCAAACTCTCCATTAATAGTTTTTACATTTTAGTCCCTATTATGCATAACAAATAGAAATTCATAGTAAATAAGCTAATTCAGTATGTTTCCTATTAGCTTAATCTAAATATAGTCTCCCTATTTGCTTGGCTAGTATAATATTATGGTTACAAGTCATAAGGTGAACTCATCTTTTTGCTGCAGATTATTTCAATGAATAATATAACTTTGTATATTAACTAGGGATTATTAAATTTTTCCTATTATTTTTTATAATTTTGGTGTAATCATAATAAACTCTTTTTGTATAGTATCTATTAATTACATTTCTGAATAAACAGATATGTAAATACCACCTCCCATACTGTACCTGTTACAGCAACATAAATTAGTATCCTTTAATTATCTATCAAAAACTAAAGATAGTTGAAGAACCAAGTCCAGAAAAATGTCATTGATTTTACTTACACCTCACAAGGGAACTCGTCTAAACACGGGATCATAGTAGAGCTATCCTGTTAGAGGATGGAATTCTAGCCAAATCTCTAAATCTATCATTCCTAATTTAACTTTCAAACCTAATTAATACAAATAAATTATCAACCAGCAAAAATTTATAAATAATTTATAAAAAAGGATGAGATTGTATAATTTTATAGGCAAAGGGGGTACATAAAATATTATTTATAAGGCTCATTATTTTTGGAGAAATTGAGGCCAAAAAGGATACTGAAAATTCCTCCTAAATAGATTTTAGATTATGAATTTCTTTATTAACTATTTTGTAATAATTAATTAAAATAATTTAATTAAAAAATTTGTTAAGCTAATTTCTTATAAATTAAAGAGTTCTATTTTCGTTTACTTTAATTATAACATTATAAACATTAAAAGTATAAAATTTGAATTAACAAAAAGATTTTATCAAAAACTTAAAGGAATACTATTTTTTAAATTAATATACCACCTACTTGCCATTTCTATATATTTAGTAGTTTAGGATGCTTCAAAAACTACGCCTCTACCTTAAAGTGGATGTTCATATAAAAATACCTGAATCCTAATGTTATAAATGATTATATATTAATATATTGGTTGTTACAAAAATAACATATAAAAATAAAAATTCTAATAGAAATATTAAATATAAATTATATATATGTATTAATAAATTAATGAATATATATATCATTTCATTGTTAATTCATAAATTTAATAAGATTTAGATACATTATTCCATAATACAATAAATCTTCCATCATTAGTTACAGTACCATAAGTAGTTGTGGATAGTAATTCAATAGACTATAAGATTTAAAAATGACCATCAAGCTATTCTTTTATAATGTAGAAATGAAATTTATTTTTGAGAGCAATAATTTTGGATTCTTAATTATAATAAATAGGAAAGTTAAATTATTCATGACACATTGGACTACAATTAAGGTTTAATTTTTGCTTAGTGTTTTCTCTAAAAATTCCATCTTAAGCCTGAAAAATATGCATTACTTCATTGCTTCTTGATACCCATATTAATTTGTTATCATTTATAAAACTTAATCTACAACCAGATTCTATAACAGATTATTTAATTACATAATTAAAATCATACTTACCTTGTTAAGATTTACACCAAATAATTATTTAATTATCTAATCCAGAAGAAGCTAATACATTTTCATTTGGAGTTAAAGTTAGTCCAATTATATTTTTTGTATGTTTATTTAGCTGATATAACAATTTCAATTCATTCAAATCAATATTAATTTTCCATACTTTAATTGACAAATCAGAACTCCCTGTAAAAAGAAGTTCTTCAGAATAATTCATAATTATGCAATTAATACAACCTAAATGTTCTTAAGATGATTGTGAACTAGACCATGATTCATTTATATTTTATTTCCATAATCTAATTTGACAATCTTAAGAAGCTGAAATGAGACTTCTACTCTTTTTACTAAAAATTAAACAAGTTATTAAATCCTTATGCCCTTCTAATTATGTGATTTATGATATTTATCCAATTTAAAAATTCCATAACTTTATTATATTTTTACAACCTGAAGCCATAATTTATTATTTATAGTCAATAGCAATAGCAATACAAATATCCTCTTATTTATTTTCTTTTTCATTCTTAATTAGTTTCAATATAGCTTAGTTTGTAAAATCAAATTCTCCATTAGATTATATCATAATTTAATTATAATTATTTTCATAAAATCATTATTTGATAATTGAATATAATATATTTATCAAAGAAAATCTATTATTTATTTATTTAATATTAATCCATAAATTCACATCCTAAAGTATTTATCTCAAATAAATATTTATAAGACTGATTAATAATCAATTAATTAAATTAATAATATATTTGATCTTATTTTGGATAAATTAAAGAATCTAGGGAGAATGTATAATAAAATATTGAATTTAGGTAGAAAGTGATGGTAAATAATAATCAATTTAACGATACATAATATTTAGATTTAAAAATAAAATTGTAATATATTTTAATAATAATAATATCAGATTAGATATATTAATTTTTGCAGAAAATTGATTATTGTAATATACTCATATCGTAATTAATTATTTAATATAAGTATGTAATTTTTATTGCTTAAAAATTTAAATAGTTTTCATTTCATAACTACTCTTAAATAAAAATGTTTGTTGTATTTGATACTGTTTTAATTTGATTATTTTTTTTTTTTATTAAACATTTTTTAATTTCTTAAAAGAATTATTTAAAACATTTAAGTAATGGATGGAATAAACCTATAATTAGAATAGTAATTTAAATAAATCCAATGATAAATTGTGTATTTAAACTAAAATAAGTTTAAAATTCTTAACAATATGCTAATCCTAATAAAGTAAATAAAATTAATGAGATTTCAGTTGAAATTATTGTGTATCGTTCAGAATTTTGATTACCTTTATCCATAAAGATTATACAACTTAAATAAATTGACATAATAATTGATAGTAGTATTGTTTATAATAAAGGTTATTATTGCATTTCTATTAAGACTATTAAAAATAAAAGCTTTTTTATCAACAAAATTGATGTTTGTAACTCATTTTACATTTACCTAAATTTATTCACTTTTTAAATTGACTATATTAAAAATGAAATTATTAAAACAAAATAAAATAAGCAAATTCCTTTTGATATGTAAGTTCTGTAGTCTGATTAATTATTTGAATTTGAACTTATATATAAAAGTACTTTAAATATTAAATCCCAACTATTAATTAAAAAGATCTAAACAAATCCTTCTTTTGTATATTTCATAAATTTATTTAATATTTTTCTATTTAAAATATAACATTTATATGCAAGTTTTCCAATATATTTAGTTTAGATTCTGCGAATAAAATTTATAAATTTTTAGGTGAATAGATATTTTTATAACCAACGCTAAAAATAATAAATAGGAAATATAGTAAGAATTACAATAAGCTAAATAAGCTGTCCTTAAATATTTGTTAATAAATCTGCATTAGTTTTATAATATAAAAATCTTCCAAAACTATGAATATATTCTTGACCTATTATGTCATCAAATTAATTTGATATTTATAAATATATCAAAATAGGTTATATTGTTATAAAATCAGATGATTCAAAATAGATTTATACATTTTATGGGAAATCAAGATTTATATATCTTAAAGTACTTTGATATTAAATTATATCTAATAATTAAACAAATGTCACTGAATATCCAAGTAATAACATTAATAGACTACTACAACTTATATTTATCATCATTATGCGACCAAAATTTTATAATTTATATGAGGCTGTTTTTAAATTATTATTCATAAATTTTGGATATTTAAGTAAAATAGATTAGGAATTAGGATATACAAGAAATTAATTTTCATCAATCAATAATTATTAAACACTAATTGTTAATTAAGGTTAATCAGAAAATGAATTATAAATGAAAATTTCTACTTAATAATTAATATCTATAAATTTATCATTTCTAATTTGATTTACAGGATAGGTTTAAATCTCATATTCTTTTGTATTCAATTTATTTATATTAAATTTAATAGTTGAAATAAAATCTTCAGGTACTCCAAGTGTTTTCACTTATTTATCATAAGATAGTTGTATATATTAATATTCAAAACTTTAATTCAAAAACAATATTTATAATTTAGTAATAGGAAAACATTTACTATATTAATTTTAAGTACAATTCCAATTTAATTCATTTAAACATATATTTGAACATCCATCATTATTTACATTATTACCATCATCACATTCTTCATTTTTAGATTTTCTACCATCACCACAATATTCATTATAATAATTAGAAAAATCATTGTTATTTTCACTTTAATCCTATTCATCAATTTATGGTGAATCTTCTGATTCATTTTTACATAAACCATTTACAATAATTTGATTTGATTTACAAGTTTATAAGCAAACTCCATATTCACATATTGTACAACCAATTTCACATTAAAATTAACATTAATAACAACCATCAAAAGGAATTTCATTTCCATCATCACATTCTTCTAATCCTATAATTACAATATTATCTCCACAAATAGGTTTACATTCATTTTCTCCAATTAATTCAAAATTATAGGAAATCTAATAAAATAATTATATTAATTATTATATTTATTAAAATAAATAATAAAAAATGAATGTTATGAATCCAATATCAATGCATTTTGAACACAATTATTAATTAATACATTATTTACAATAAGGAGAACATTACCACATACACTAATAACAACCATCTTTATTAATATCATTGGCATCATCACATTATTCTAGAGATCCTAAAGCAATTATTCCATCTCCACATTCTTAAACACAAATATGATCTATAAGTTACCAACCATCTAAACAAAATAAACATTTTTCATTTATACAAAATTTACATTCTAATTAACAACTTTATTAACATTTATAACATTTGTCAAATTAAATATTATTATTATCATCACATACCTCAGTTTCTACAATAATTCCATCATTACATAAAGATATACAATTCCTTTTATTTCTCTCTAAATGATATCCATCAATACATTCCATACATTCTTAGTAATATTAAGTTTTACAATTATTTATTCTTAAAACATTACATATTTAATATTAAAAGTTAAATATTTTATAATTTTAAACTAGACAATTAGGAGTAAACATTAAAAAATTAGAATTTAATAAAGCATGTTATTAAAATTCATTTTCAATTATATTCTCCATTTAATAATAACAACCTTATTGTTTTTACATCTCATAATCTTAATTATAATAACAGATTAATTAACAAGAATTATCAATTAATTAGTATGTTTATTGACATTAAAGGCATTTTCCTAATTAACATATTTAGCATTAAGAAGAACAAGTTAATTTACAAAAATGACATCCATCATTAGAAATCAAATTGCCATCATCACATTCTTCTGTATATGTGATAATAGAATCTCCACAAATTGGATGACATTTTCTTAAGGTTTCCAAATATTCCCAACCTCCTTAACACTCATAGCATACACCAAAAATACAATTACTACACCCTTCGACACATTCATACATTTTAGAAAAACATCCATCAAAAGGATAAATATTTGAATCATCACATGTATCCTTCATATCAACTACTAAATTATAAGGTATTAAGAATAATTTAAAGTCTCTAATTCCAAACCATGTTTGCAAAGATGTATTAATTTTAATCATTACTACTTCAATTGTAATTTTAATTTTAGATTTGAGATGTCGACGTTCTTGTATTTTTATTTATTATGAACTCATATGATCCAAGAAATAATCTTTAATATATAACCATCCTTAATTATAAATAGTAGTGAATACAAGAATATCATCAATCTTGATATAAATTCTAGTTGTCTGTGAATTAAACACTAATATTCTTAAATATAAACTAAATGCTTCATGTTCAATAAGAGTAATCTCTTTTGTGAATGAATTTCCAGTTGATATATGATAATAAATATCTAATTAAAATTATAATATACCTGCAATATTATCAACTAATGTAGAAATTATGTCATTTGTATACCATCCTTCAATACTATTTATTGATGAAATTACTCTAGAATCAAAAGACTTAATATATAAAAATTAATAAAAACAACCATTTTCATCGCAAGAATAACAGCCAACTGGGCATTCATAAATATATAATTAGAAATCTGAAATTCCAAATTTTCCCAAATTATTTAAGAATCCTATCGAAACTGTACTACCATAATGATTATGTTAAAAATTTGTATTAAAGGATTCATCATTTAAGCTAGATACCTCACAAAAATTAGTTGTGCTAATTGTTTGATAAAAATTAGCATGTGCTAATAAATTATCATAATAAACTATGAAATAAAAATTATTCCATTAATCAATTCTAAACTTAAACTATATTAGTACGTCCAAAAATTAAATTACAATTCAATTTTATAATGTGGTTGGATTTCAAAAGTTTTAAAATACATAGTACTATAATCTACAGGACTTTAATTATTTAAAAATAACACATTAGATGTTCCACAAGTTATAATTCTAGATTCATGTGCATTATTTGAAATTACCTACCAGCCTAAATAATAAATCTCATTATAAATTACCATTTATTGTTGTAAATGAATCACTATGAGCTAATATTCTTGATTAAACATCTGATAGAATTAGAAATAATATAATTAATATCAAAGGTATAACTGCTTATTATTTATTAGAATGTTAAGGTGCAAACATCATTTTAATATTTTTAATAATTATATCTTTATTATTAATAAGTAGAAAAATAAATATTCAAGATAATATTCATTTATATGAAAATAAATTATATGAACAAATTAATTTTAATTATACGTACATTAATGCACAGCGTTTATTTAATTCATAATCAAAAAGAATGTATATTTTAGTTAATCTAAATTGAGAGTATGATTTAATAAAATTGGTAGGAATTAATAATAGAAATGCATATTTAATAAATCCTTTTATTTCATCAAGATTTATTTAATTTAATTGAGAAATTAATTAATTAAACACCAACTCTATAATTATCCCAATAAAAATATTTCATAATAATACAATTAATTCAAATTGAAAATAAGATAACTAATTATTAAGATACAAAAAAATCAGTAGAATAAGTTAACTTATTGACATATCATTAATTATATATTGATTATACAATACACACATAATATCATACTAATTATTCATATAATATGTATTAAATAGTGTTGATCTTCTTATATATAATTCAAAATGATCTAATTTATATTTAATGAAATTAAGTAAACTTCACTAAAACTGATATAATTTCTCCTCTTTCTAGTTTAAATAATATGTAAAGCGTTTTTTAGGCTTACTCTAAAATATTGATATTATTTATAAATACAAAATAATTAAAATACATAACAGATTATAAACTTATTTTAAATTTACAATTAAATAAATTTCCTAAAATTTGATTGGATTTTTCAAAATGATTTTAAGTATTTTTTTTTTTCAAATTTATTTTGAATCCAACTTGTTTTACTACTTTATTCGATTGAATCAAATTTCTTTATTTTATTTATTGCTAATTATATATTTAATTTAAAATTAATTCAAATTATATACTTTGTAATCATTTTTATATAAAAATTCTTTTTTTATTTAACTAGTTTCAATTATAAATAAATCAGATTACATATTTATTCGAAGTAAATGTAAATTTTGTATGATATAATGCTGCACCTCAATATGATTAAATGATTCTATTGCCTTTAGAACCAACTCATCAATTACAAAATTTAATAAGATTCAAGTTGAAATGGATTAGAGATCAAGTTGTAAAAGTTAACTTTAAAAGTTATATCGAATTCATAATAAATATTATTATATAAACACTTGCAAGAACATAAGATTTATATTTTGGGAAATAAATTTAAATTTTATTTAAAGGATTTCAAAAATGATCTCTAACTTATTTTTGAAAATTAACAAATTAACAATTGAATCGACAAGTTATTATTGCTTATTTTAGTAAATGCAATTTTATTAAAACTGAAGCTAATCAAAAAATTAAAAAGTACGATTAAATTTTTCTAAAAGATACATTTAATTGTTGGATGAATTATTATTAATTCCTAAATTCCATATTTCAATAGCTTCAACATGACGCCCTTATGAATTTAAGAAGTTAGCTAATTAATGTATGTTTTATTACTTATTTAATGATAAAATTCTATATCGTTTTTATTGAATTGAATTCCTTTTTTCCAGCAATTAATGACTGATTCAATTTAACCTTACTTTTTTAGCTCATTACCTTAATATACATATTCTAATACATTTTTCTTAATAGAACTCTATAGAGGTCCTATTTTAATAAATACCAATATTCCAACATTCTATTAATTTATCATAAAACCCAATTCTTTTTAATGCTTGAGCTTATAAATAACTAATCTTGAATAATTACCTTGTTCATAATAGAATATAAATTTATTTTTATTTTTCTTTATAACTTATTCCCAAAATTTAACAACCTTTCCCTTCCTATCTAAATATTCTAAAGTCATAGCTAATTTTTATAATTTATTAATCACATTTCATAACATAGAACTCGATTATATCTTTATTCTTTTTAATTCCTTAATCCCAGCAATCTAAAACTTCTTAATACAATCCTTGTAACTCTAGTGCTTTACCTATAAAATAATGAATAAATGATACAATATTATTAATAAAATTCAATATTATTTTTGTTTAATTTAACCCCTTAACACCAACAATTATTTAATTCTTCAAATTTTCCTTATTGTTTTAAAGTATTTGCTAAATTAGTTATAGATTTACATTTCACTAAATAAATATCTATATTGTTTTTATTTTTTTTTTATTCATATTCCCAATATTCATCTAATACTTATTTATTTTAATAGTCAGAATTATTAGCTATGTATTAATGCAATATTACTAAAATTCATTGAAAATTGAAAATATTTATTTTTTTATTATTCATCTTAAATATAACATTTTTTAGTTATGTATTATTTTTTTGAGTAGCTAATTTATAAAAATGAAATAGGGTCGAATATAATTCAACCCTAGCATCAAATTATATTCAATTAACTTTTAGATTTAATTCTAATCTTTAGTAATTTCTTCTCAAAGTAAGTACAAATTAAATTTCTAGCATGTAAAGAAATTTATAGCTATCAATTTACATTTATTTAACTTTTCAATAGATAGGGTATTTCAAATTAATTATTTTTTATGAGTTAATTAATTAACTCTTTTAATCATATATCTTAAATCACAAATATACTACTTTAGTTCATGAAGAATCCAATTAAATAATTAATTTTTTATTTAAATTATCAACTCAGACAACAAAATTAAAATAATGTAGATACCAAATCAAAATTAAAATAAATATTCATTCAGCTTCATTTCTCAATATAAATAAATTAATAAAGCTAAATTATATAGTTATGAATTCCCTTAAATTATTACATAATGATTTAATTAAACTGCTGATAGAATAGAATGAATTATAATACATTATTAAATATGTTGTATTTTTTAATTAAATGTAAAATATTATTCATAAAATCAATCTGTTAATTCTTGTTTTTGACTATTTATTACTTTTTATTTTATTATTATCTTTATAACTTGCTTTTTTTCTAAATTTCTATGCTGTTCATTTATTGAAAAATCTTGATCTTTTATTTATTCTTAATTCTTCTATCCAATCTCCTCATGTTAGATTAAATTTCTTTTAGATATCCTTTCAATTGTAATTTTTTTTAGTTTTTTCAATGTTAAACCTTTCAAAAAGCTAATATAATCTTCATCATTTGTTAGATTTTATATTTTAGAGCAACAAACATATAATTCTTTACTTAAAGTCTATCTTTTATTTTATCCCAATAGTTTGATCAAAGGCTTATCGGATCCTGCATTCTTACTAATAAATTCTTATAAATAATCAGGAAATCTCTCTTTAAGAATTAAATAGTTTTTTTTCCAGGAATCATTTATATTCAAATAGTAAACAGTACATTTATCTATGATTTATGAAAACTTCATTTCTATTATCTCATTTATTGTGCAATATGATTTTACTAATATTGAAATAATTAATGAAAGTTAAATTTTATCTATTGATTTCAAGTCAAATTATAATGTTTCAATAAATTTTGTAATAGGATTTGCATTTATATTTTGAGGCAACTCTTGAACTTTTGAAGGAATCAAAATAATTTTATTCTTTTAATCTTCCTTTTTTATTTATTATCCATAAGTTTTCTAATTTTTAGATTCAATTTTTTTCAAAGCTTTTTCTCTTTTATTCACTTTACTACTGCCTATTTTGATAAATCCTTCTTATAGTTTAAGTATGTGTAGGGGTTCAAATAAATGATTGTAAATGTTATGCTACATAATATCTTATTAACATGAAATACAAAAAAGGCAATTCTCTTTTGATTTGTAAATTTTTGATAATTAGTTCTCTAACCTTAGGTTAATTTTACTGTTTGTTAGTTTGATATTCTTAGATTCACCCTTTTAATTTTCTTATTTTAATTTATTCATTACTCAAAAACCTTATTATTTTTGTCATTAAGTAATGTGTAAATATGTATATTTTATTTTGAATGATAATTTCATATTCGAAAAATCTAAGACTTTTTTTATATAGATATCATCATCTAAAATACTTAAGTATTTTCACTATTTTAAGCTATTTAATTTTAAATAATCTTGGGGTGATTAACTGAGATCATATTCACAACAAACACCAGAAAAAATTAATGAAATTAATAATAATTATTTAATTATTAATGTGATACTAAATAATTTTTAATGTAATCAATCAAATTTAATAGGAATAGGTATTATGAAATTTTTGTGTATATTTTATCTTCATGTGATTGCTAAATTATGAAAAGAACTTTTTCACTATTCCTTCAAGGAATTTATTGAATTCAATGTTATTAAAATATTTGATTTAGTAATAATTTTGTTTTATTCTGGAATAATGAATTAGTAAATTTAATAATATTATAATATTAGATATAATTATTTATAAATTTAAGAATTTGCCTAGCAGACTTGATTATTAACAAAAAATCACCTTAAGAATAGTAAAAACTAGCTTAGAATACCATGTTGCACATCAATTTAACATTTATTGAAAAATGTAATATCGTCCATCTATTGAGAATGTCTTTTAAATTATTAAAGAGACAAATATATGAAAAATGAAATTTAATCAATCTCAAGAATAGGAAAAGTTTGAAAAAAGAACTTAATTCTTTACAATTTTAGAAAAGATTTATTCAGAAAGGAATACTAACTAATATTAATTAGTATTAAAAGAAATATATTAGAATCTAATTCAATTTTTCAAGAAAAGTACTCATCTTAGCAAATCAAAATATGAATAAGGAAATCTCTATATTCGGACTTTTATCTGAAAATATTAATAAAATATAATGTTTTTAATATTATTCATTATAACAATATATTTTTATTTTATTTCCCAAACTGATGAATTATATTTCATTATGACAGCTCTTACTCCTTTATCTAATCTGATACCAAGTTAAATTATTTAGGGTTATTTCATTCTGTTATTATTCTTCTTAATTCCATGAATTTATACTTTATAAATTATGAATTTATAAAATATAATCATAAGCATAAAGTTTGTGAGTATATTTCATAATTAAAGATAGTGCTCTATAAATTATTCATTTATTAAAAATATCCTTGCTCAATCTAATTTTAATATTTCTACATTAATATAAGAAACTTATTAAATTTCAAGATAAATATATCAATAAGTAATAAAATTGATAAATATTTTAAACAAACTTCATTTCTANATTTTTAATGTAATCAATCAAATTTAATAGGAATAGGTATTATGAAATTTTTGTGTATATTTTATCTTCATGTGATTGCTAAATTATGAAAAGAACTTTTTCACTATTCCTTCAAGGAATTTATTGAATTCAATGTTATTAAAATATTTGATTTAGTAATAATTTTGTTTTATTCTGGAATAATGAATTAGTAAATTTAATAATATTATAATATTAGATATAATTATTTATAAATTTAAGAATTTGCCTAGCAGACTTGATTATTAACAAAAAATCACCTTAAGAATAGTAAAAACTAGCTTAGAATACCATGTTGCACATCAATTTAACATTTATTGAAAAATGTAATATCGTCCATCTATTGAGAATGTCTTTTAAATTATTAAAGAGACAAATATATGAAAAATGAAATTTAATCAATCTCAAGAATAGGAAAAGTTTGAAAAAAGAACTTAATTCTTTACAATTTTAGAAAAGATTTATTCAGAAAGGAATACTAACTAATATTAATTAGTATTAAAAGAAATATATTAGAATCTAATTCAATTTTTCAAGAAAAGTACTCATCTTAGCAAATCAAAATATGAATAAGGAAATCTCTATATTCGGACTTTTATCTGAAAATATTAATAAAATATAATGTTTTTAATATTATTCATTATAACAATATATTTTTATTTTATTTCCCAAACTGATGAATTATATTTCATTATGACAGCTCTTACTCCTTTATCTAATCTGATACCAAGTTAAATTATTTAGGGTTATTTCATTCTGTTATTATTCTTCTTAATTCCATGAATTTATACTTTATAAATTATGAATTTATAAAATATAATCATAAGCATAAAGTTTGTGAGTATATTTCATAATTAAAGATAGTGCTCTATAAATTATTCATTTATTAAAAATATCCTTGCTCAATCTAATTTTAATATTTCTACATTAATATAAGAAACTTATTAAATTTCAAGATAAATATATCAATAAGTAATAAAATTGATAAATATTTTAAACAAACTTCATTTCTACGACTCTTATTAAAGAAATTTTTTCATTAAAATAATTTTTTTAATTTAATGAAGATATAAAAATAATTTTAATTTTTAAGTCATTAATTTTCTAAAAAATTTAATTATACATTTTTTTAGTGATATTAATATAAAATATCCAAAGAAAAATAAATAAATTGTAAGTATTAATAGCTGAGATTGGAAATAGGCGTGCTATAGACACAAATAGGATTTTAAGATATGAAATAGTGATTTAAAATGTCGATGAGCCACTTTACACTCATTATCTAATAGAGGAATTTAAATTACTAAGAAATTATCAGTAAATTAAAATTTTTATCTTATGATTTTAGTTAATTCAAAATGTGAACCATTCAAAAAAAGGAGGTTAAAATATTAAATATAATTGGTCATAAATTTTAACCTTAATATCATATTTAATGATAAAAAAAAAATAATTTTTTTTAACTTTAAAATCTGTTTTTCTTACAAATTAAAAAAATAAATAATTGATTACTTAAAAATAACAAATTTCATACCTACCTAATAAATAATGGGATGTTTTTATTAATAACTTAAATGAACGTATTAATAGATCTTAAGAAAGTTCAACTTTACATCTGAAAATGATTATTCAAGAATTATTTATCTTGAAAATAGTGGATTTAAGAATTTATTTATCAAATTAATAATAGTTTAAATTAAATGTTCAATAAATATAATTTTCACAAAACAAGTGATAAATTCAGCAGATTGTCCAATTCATCAAACATCTCAAATGCTTATGAAGATAATGCTTTGTAATCAATATCTATTATTTCTTAAACATTATATTTTGGTTAAATTTATCCATTATAATCCTAGAATTATATTTAAAGTTTCATTTTTTTTTGTTAAAATGCTTTTGATAAAAATATATTCCTTTAATCTTCAGGATTCATTGATTTAAGTTAATCTGCAGTTATTCCAAGTAATTTGACTGCAATCTCATCAAAAATGATTGCCTTAATGTTTGTAAATTCATCCATTATTGTTACTCTCAAAAAAAAACTATATTTTGGTTAATCACTTTCTACGAAGCATTTCTTGCATCTATATGTTTTTCGACTAGGAATTTCTTCCATTTTTGACTTGCATCGAATATTAGGACAGCTAGGATACATGTTATTATATTCTTGTATTTCAATAATGTAACCAAAAATGTATTTATAAGAAGTTTATTAAGTTTTGCCTTCATTTAGTAGTTTAATCACAAATTCATCTAATTATTGAAGATCTATTGTTGAATTATCTGGATTTGGTCTCATAATTGTATCAATATTTTTACCCGCCAACCAACTTTTAAGTTGTTTAACTCTAAAATGTTTAATAATAAGTTTACTCGTTTAAGTCATGATTTTAAATAATCATAGTTTAATAATCAGAGTTTAATGATTTGAAATTGATATTTTAAAATTTTAATCCTTTAAACACCATAATTTCCCCTTTTTGTAAATTCAGATTTGCATATTATGCTCCCCAAAGTTTTACAGACAATCTTGTTGTCTAATCACATACTATAAATGATTTAAAAGAATCAGATCCTTATTTTATTTCCTAAAGATAATTCATATAATTACTTATATAACTGCAACAACATCAACAATGGAATTATGTTACAAGGTCTCAATTTCTTAAAGGGTTGAAAAATTTAATTATGGGGAAGAAGGAATAGCAAAATTTTAGGATTCTGAAATAATTGAATACTCATTAAAAGTGATTTTCTTTGTACCATTTGCCTTATCTTGAACTATTTATCCATTTTTAAATGTATAAACCTTTCCTTATTACAAAACAGGAAAAAATTTACTCAATGCTTTTTCATAGAATAAACCTACTATCAATTCTTATTCACAATCTAATATTAAGATTCTAAAATATCTTGAAATTGTTTCTGTCTTTTTACATCGAAAATCCATTTATTCTGATTTGAAGATAACTCTTCCTTCCAAAACCCATTTCTTCATAGAAGGATACATAGCAGATATTTTTGTTAATTCTTATTATGCTAGTTATTATTATTAATAGTCTTTAAATTAGATTTATTATTTATTATTTGCTGGGTTGTCCAATACCGAAATATTTAAGAGATTATCATCAATAAAAAATGAATCCTTCATAAATGATGAATTTTCAATTTTAACTTTTTTAATTGAACTTGTTGCATATGATTAATTGTTTGTATTATTATTAGTTGTTGCATTCCTCCTTATCTACAATTTAGGCTTTCTTTGGCTAGAAAGATTTTAATTTACATTGAATTAAGTACATTCATGTTCTCCATCTAGAGATGCAATATATTGAAATTCATAGATCACAACCGTGTAGTTTTATTGTTTTTCTAAATAGACTAACTTCCATTTTATCAATTATATTATCATAGAATTCACATTAATAAATTGCTCATCTTGATATCATATATTTATTACTTTAGTGGTATTTTATGAGATCGGCAGCCCTTCCTGTTAAGATTGCTGTTTGTGAATGTTATCCATCAATCAAATTTGTTTCTATTATCACCTAATCTTAACACTTTTTCTCCTTATATCCATTGAGCTTAAACTATAGTCTTAAGAATTAGTGTTGACCTAAATTCTAATCTAGATTATGGAATAGTTATTCTATTTTAGCAAGGGGAATATCAGAATTTATTTTCATATTATATTTTTTATGTTAGATTTATTTATAAATGCGAGGTAAAATCATTTAATTAAGAAACATATTTTCAGTATTCTCCATTTTCTGATTTTAATCTAATGGATTAATTAATTTTAATGAATAATAAAAGAATATTATCTTGATTCGTTATTGTAGATGTATTCTTATTTAAAATGCAAAAAATTGTTTTTTTACATTTAAAGATAATAATAATTTATTATGTTAGAAGAGAGGATAGCATTGGTAATGGGTTCAGATAACTAAGAAAAAGGAAATTTATATGTTGGAGGATATGATTCTTTAAAAATGATACCACAAAAAAGGATTGGTGCTGTCTTGTCGGCTGTTTGGGCAGGGAATTTTAAACCAGATGAGAATTTGAAATATCTTCTTATCGAAGCTGATGATAGTCCTTCTTATGATATGAGCAAACATTTTGAGAAAGCAGTGAAATTTATACATGAAAGCCTTTAAACAACTAATGTCTTAGTTCATTGTGCTGCTGGAATATCAAGATCAGTTTGCTTGATAATAGCTTATATGATAAAAATACATAAAATGAAACCATAGGAAGCTTTAACAATAATTAGAAAGACAAGACCATGGGCAGGACCAAATGAGGGATTTACAGAACAATTGGAAAAGTATTACAAAGAAGTCATGTAAGAAAAATAATGATGATTTATGATATTATGCATATATTTCATTGATTAGTGTCAGCTTATTGTGATTATTCAGGAGTAGAATAATCTGGCTATTCAACTATTCCAAGGTAGAAATCGTGAGATTTTTATAAATCAGCTTCTATTAATTTCTAATAAGCATCCTTAGCTAAATATTTATAACTTTATTATATTACAGATGACATTTCCATCATTGTCATAATATTTTATTTATGGAGTGTTAAGTACACCGCTATCGAGGACAGCCTTTTCAGATTCTTTAATTTCACCAAACCATTCATTAGGATGATCTTCATAAATTTTAGGTTCTGGAATGTGAATTCCTTCGGATATACATTCGTGACTATAAATTAAATTAAGCTTGTTTCCATAAAGAGCATCTTTAATTTTGAGTGACATACTAAAATAAATGTATTGAATACCCAATAGGAATGTAAACAGAATGAACAGGGATTTCAAATTTGATGTATTCTCCAGGTTAATCACAATATTTGAAAGAAGGTCCTTTGAATTCGCATTCTCCATAAAGAATAATACAATCACCCTAAGCTGGCATATCAGACTCGTATTATTAAGCAATTAGAATTTATTATTATGCTTGAGCATTGATGTATGTATCAAGTGTGGCTGTTAGGAATGTTTCAGGAGGAGTTGCTGTTTCTAATGGTTGTATTTGATCGGTTGATTTCTCTAAGAATATATTAGTCATTGGGGCAAAGGATCTGTTTATTATAGATTCTTCAAGGAATGAAGATTGAGTGGATGCAAGAACAATGCATGCCAAAAGGAATTGAATTTTCATTACTTATAAAAACGAATATTATTTGATTTACGATATCAAATATTCTATAGTAAATAAGTTGGTATATTGTATTAACATATTTATTATAAATTAAAATCAAATGGAAAATTATCATGTGTTACATTTAATTGGTGAAGGCTCTTTTGGGAAGGTATATAAGGGAAGATGGAAGAAAAGTAACTAAATGGCAGCTTTGAAGTTCATAAGTAAGAGAGGAAAAACTGAAAAAGATTTAGCAAATTTGAGATAGGAAATTGAAATATTGAGGAGATTGAAGCATGAAAATATAATATTATTATTAGATGCATTTGAAACACAAGGAGAATTTTGTTTAGTAACTGAAGTAATTTATATTGTTTCTATTTATTAGTTTGCCTAAGGTGAATTATATGAAATTTTGGAGGATGATCATAATCTTCCTGAGAGTGAAGTTAGAAAAATAGCATAATAATTAGTTAGAGCACTTCATTATCTGCATTCTAACAGAATTATTCATAGAGATATGAAACCTTAAAATATTTTATTATCTGCCAATGGAGTTGTTAAATTATGTGATTTTGGATTTGCAAGAGCAATGTCAACTAATACACAAGTTTTGCATTCTATCAAAGGTACTCCTCTTTACATGGCACCAGAATTAGTACAAGAATAACCTTATAATCACACAGTAGATCTATGGTCTTTGGGGGTTATTTTATATGAACTATTCGTTGGTTAACCTCCATTCTACACTAATCAAATATATTCCCTAATTCAACTAATCATAAAGGATCCTGTCAAGTATCCTGATAACATGAGTCCTGAATTCAAAAGTTTCTTAAAAGGACTCTTAAATAAAACACCTTCTGATAGGTTAGGATGGCCAGATCTATTAAATCACCCATTTATATAAGAATCTGATTAGGAAAAATATGAAAGGAAAAAAAGATTAGAATAATATAGTTAATGGGCAGGAGTAGAAAATGAAGTTATTGATAAACGCAAAAGATCATTAACACCAACAAGAGATATTATCACTTATGATTAAAGTAAAGATACAAGAGATGTCTCACCTAGAAGAATGCCTTGTAATGATGAATATTGGGTTAAATGTGAATAAATTGCTAATGAGGTTCAAGGAGCCACTTAATTAAGATGTGATCCTGGATTCTTAGATAAGTTACTTTAAGTGTTGACACCTCCTAAGAAACCTTCCTTACATTGTGCTTTGAAAGTCTTTGGATAAGTCATAACTAAAGGTAATTAATAAGAGGGTTTGGATGTTGTTAAAAATTAATAAATACCTATTTAATTGGTAACTCATGTGAAAAGCATTCTCAAATAAGGTAGTTCTGAACTGCTATCTGAATTAATTAAAACTATAGGTCTTTTAGCTAAAGCTACTTTTGATAAAAATATTGGAATAGATAACGTTTTTATTAAATTTATTGGGATGACTGCTCAAATTCTGAAAATTGGATAAAATAATGAATTAATCAACACTATCAAAACTATTGGGATTTTTGCTAATTAAGCTAGTCTTAATCCTGTAAGATCTGTATTATTTTATAAAGAATTAGTTGAACACAACTTAGCTTAAGAAACTGCCAAATTGACTAAAAATAATATTACTCTTCACAAATTTGCAACTTAAGTAATTGGAGTTTTGATACATCCAATTCATGGGGAAATATTTAGTTTCCCTTGGAAAAAAGGATATTCAATTTAAATATAAAATTTTAATGAAGCTTTGCCTTTGTTTGAGTCATTAAAAAATTAAATCGTTACTGCTTATGCTGATATTGATCATATGAAAATTTATAATGAATAAGATGAATAATAAAATTTAACTAGAATCTCTGTATTGAGAATCCTATTATAAATGATTAGAGTAAGTAAAGATGTTCATGTTCCTAAAGAGTTGATTATTTAAGCACTTAATTCTGATGAAGCATTATTTTAAGGAACTACATTGCTAATTTTGGTTTAATAATATAAAAATAAAAATTAGGAATATTAAGTGAATTTATAATAGGTGATCGAAATCTTTGAGAATAATATTTAAATTAATCCAATTGTTTCTTTATCTGCAATATAATTGATTGCTGAACTATTATAATAAGAAACAAACTTTACAAATCAATTACTTAATTATTTTAGTTAATAGCTACCTTATAAATTATTAAGTGATTTGGTTAATCCAAATAAAAAACAAAATAGAACAGAAGAAATCAGAAAATTAGAAGGTAGTAGTTTTGGATGTCCTAGTTATGGATTTGTAGATGGAGTTATAACATTATTATAAAAATTACTTTTTAGATATAATAAAGAATAAAAGAAATTAACTGATCTTTTTTAATTATTGGAAAAATATGAAATACATCAATTATTATTTTAGATTTTATTGAACATTACAAGTAGAAATGATGTATCTCCAAAAGGATTTGTATCTTTATTAATTTTAATTCATGATTCAATATACTCAAATTTTAAAGCTTTAGGTTAATTAATATTTTAGGATAATTCAATTAGAATTTTATGTTCCTTTTTAAAAGAAGCTTAATTATAAAGTATATAAGAATGGCCATCTTCTAGTGGAGGAGGTATGGCTTGTGTAAATGTAATGAGTATTTAAATTATTCGAATTTTTATTTTGGCATTTTAAGAACAAAATTGCGATAATGTATTTAAAGAATTGAGTAATCAAGAGATAGTAGCTTTGACTTTAAATTTGATCAAATATTTATAAAAGGATCATATATCATTAGTTATTTCTTTCATTTCAAGATTAGTAGGAAATAATGAAGAAGATAAACAGTTTGCATAAAGTTTTGTTTAAAATAATGGACTGGCTATTTTATAAAAATATTAAATAATGAGTGTAGATTCAATAAACATTCTATCTTAATTAGCTAGGATAAGTAAAGATTTTTATCCTAATATACATTCAATTAATTTATACAATGATTTGAAATAGCAAATCTAATCTCCTGATTCAAATGTCAGAGCAAAAGTTTGCAATTTAATTGGCAATTTGTGTCGACATTCTTCTTTTTTTTATGAACATTTACTCAAATTTGATTTAATTAATCTTTGCATTAAGTGTTGCCAAGATCCAGATAAACACACACGTAAATTTGCTTGTTTTGCAGTTGGAAATGCAGGATTTCATAGTGATAGATTATATGAACAGCTAAGACCAGTTGTACCCATGTTAGTTGAATTATTAAGGGATTAAGAAGTATCTTTATCATTTAAATAAAGGAAAAAACAAGAGCAAATGCAGCAGGAGCATTAGGAAATTTTGTTAGGAATTCTAATGCCTTAACTAAGGATTTAATTAAACATGGAGCCTTGCATTAATTGTTAGAATTAGTGAAAACTGACAAAGGTTCTCAACCTACAAGAATATCCTTATTTTCTATAGGAAACCTTTGTGCTTATCCTGAATGCAGAAAAAAGTTTGAAGAATTACAAATTAGATAGATAATTGAAATGACTTTAGTAAATTTAACATTAATTTTAAGGCTTAAACAAAGGATTAATAAATATTAAAATATGGCAAAAGAATATTAATTAAACTTGATGAGAATTGAAAATTTGAATATGATAATTTATATATAAATTATTTAGTTAAATATAAATTTATTAATTTGTTTTTACATAAAGTATCTATTGTTAAAAACTGAAATTTAAATTTCCTTTTTTGTAATTTTACAAAAGAACTATCTTTTTGATTAAAAATACAATCAAAACCAATTTATTATTCATAGTATTTATCTATATCTATATTTATAATATTAATATAAATAAATTAAATAAATCAACTTATATGATAGAATAACCAAATACTATTATCATTTTTATATAAATTTTCATCAAATCTCCTAATAATGAATAGTTTACTTTAATAAACATTTTTTATTATCAAAACATATAAAAAATATTGAAAATAGATTCATTAATAGTTATTATTTAAAAGATCCAAAAAAATATAAATATAAATATTATATCCTAGTACACCATTATATAAAACACAACACAATATTTATTAAAATATTGATACTAGACATTTCTGTATACAAAAATCCAAATTTGCAATCTCATAAAAACATCTTTAAAATGAATGATTTTTTACATAAATGAGGTTTATTAAAATTAAGTAAAAAATATCCCTGCAATCAATAATAAGTCTGCAAGGTATAGATGAATTAGCAAAAATCAATAATGAAACATTAGGGTCATTTATATTTATAAAAGTATGTGGAATAAAATTATACAATTATAATATTATTGCATCTCTCTTTTATCGAACATAGATAATTATTATATATATAGATCTATACAAATGTACTTTAAAAATATTTTTAAAGATATTCTTAATCAATAATTTGAAGTTTATGATTCATCTTTTGTTTTTTTTAAGATATGTGATGATATTTGAATATTATTGGGTTTAGAATACAAAATACATCTATATGATATTTATATAGAATTAATGTACATATTTAATCTGAGATTCTGCATTGTGCACTATTAATATTATAATTATAAATTATGTTAACTGATTGTATTGATATATCGATGTAATCAAAGGAACAACCATCCAATTATTCATATTTTGTGTATAATTACCCACCTACAACCATAATGGATTATCAAAATACATCAATACCACAATTACAGATGAGAAATTCAAGTAAATTTGATATATAATAGTTAGCTGATTCTGTTTTCAAAGATAACATGTAGATTCCTTCATTTATGTAAGGATTATCTGTTCCCAGTTTCTAATTTAATAATTCCAATTAATTTTGTATTAATGAATAAAAATCATAATACATGCCACCAATTGCTAATGGTTTGGCTTCTTATTTTAATGATTAATCTTCTTTTAAAGTAAAATATGAAAGTAAGAAAAATCGAATAATTGTGGGAACATAAGCAATATGTAATATAGAAATAATCCTTATATAAAGATATTTTGATATTAAAACATAAGTATTTATAATATAAAATAATAGTTATTCTGCCCACCAAATATTAAATATACTTTAAATGAAGATAAAAGTATTTCAAATATGGCATGGTTGAAAGATAGAGTAAAAAATAGATATAAAAAGCCTGTAAATATTGTTATGTATTTTTAGATTAAGGATTCAATGTCTGATTTAATTAATGTAATTGGAAACATGAATGAATAAGATTTATAATAATTAAGTTGTTTCTAATAGTTTTAAAGTTAAGGTTTTGACAATCTTGAGAAATAAGTACCAAAGTCGATTAAATTAGAGAAACCTTTTTCTGAAATGATGTTTGAAATTCAAATTCTAATTGCTTAGTTTTTAATAACAAAATTTTGATATAAAAATTTTAAGTTATTTTAATAAATTGTTTAATAGCATATCTGATTGATATTAGAATGTAATAATAAAAAATCATGGGATTTATGTATATATATATATATTTTATTTAATATTTGTCTTATATTTAAAAGAATAATTATTATTTTAAATAATTAAAAAATCTTAATGACGGAGAACATCGTGTATTTTAAAATGAAACACGAGGCACAAACATATAAAATTCCAATATAAGGAGTGAATGTGCAATTAAAAGATTTACGTCAAAAAATAAAAGATTTTCTAAGTAAGAAATTTAAATATCAAAATCTAGAAATGCCTTAAGCTTAGAAAGGATAGTCTAATTAAAATTTTGAAGAATTAGTTATCTATGGAGAATTAGAGTAAAATGGTGGATAAGAAAAAGCATTAGGATTAGCTGATAAAGTAAAATAATTATATTAATATTTATTTAGGTTAGAAATAAATAAACAGTGATAGTAGTGAGACAACCATACCAGTAAGGCCAATCGTTGTGTGAGTCATGTCTATCTGCAAAAAGCACATCTTAGACCCCTTGTTGTTAGAGAAGAATATGCCAAGGATGTGAAGAACAATTTATCAAAGTTACGAAGTGTTTCTTTAATGAGCTACAATAATGTCCATTTAAATATGTCAATTATCAAGTTTAGACTATCAAGTAATAAACTGAGATCTCCAACGCAGAGTTGGAATAATAAATTAAAAATGCTGTTTTCTTTATTGTTAAGAGTAATACCGAACAGAATGTGATTTTGGCCAAAACTCATGATGTTTGGGCTACTACTCGTCGTAACTTTGGCACTCTTATGGATTAATTTAATAACAAAAAAGTCATTTTGATTTTTATTGCTAATCGTGTTGAAAAATTTTTAGGTTGTGCTAAGATGAAGAATATACAAGTTCCTCGAGATCCAAAATGGTAATGGTGTGGTACATCCACTATTCAATTGGCTGATAATTTTTCAATTGAATGGTTAAGAAAGGGTACTGTTGATTTTTCCAAATTGTAAGATACCATTAATCCAAAAACTGGAGATCTGGTGATCAGGAGTAAAGATTGTTAAGAAGTTCCAGCTGTAATGATCCTATTATTAATTTTATTTATCAGGATATTGGTCAACGTATATGTCTATTGTTTGAATAAATCAAATAAAACGACGAAGAATAAGAACCACTGCCCCAACCTTAATAAGAGCCAACTCCAAAGAAGGAAGAGAACGAATGGGATTGCGATCAAATAGTTTGTATATACAATTAATTACAATTAATTAAAGCTCCTGTCAATCGAAGTCCATTTAGAGAATAACCACAAAATTCACCAAGTCGTTCCCCAAGTAACTAGAACATTCCTTCCCAAAATATATAATTAAATTAGGCATAACATGCTTTATTAAATTAAACCATAGCATCATTGGTATAATAATAATAGATGGAAATTAATTGGAATAAGATGAATGTGGGTAAAATACCTGGATTAACAGGAAAAGTATAATATCCACATCCATTCTTATAAAAATATAGTTAAAAATAGAATAAAATGGCAGAAGCCTTATTATAAATGGTTTAAAAAGAAACTGAAAGAAAAGACAAAGAAAAGAAATCATCAAGTCATTCTAAAAAGCATAAAAAGAAGAAGGAAAGAGATAGAAGTTCTTCTGATGAAAAAAGAAGATCAAGTATCATTATTTTATTAATAATAGGGAAAAAAAGTAAGGAAAGAAAAGAAAAAAAATCAAAACATAAAAAGAGAAGTCGAAGTAGAAGTAGATCAAGAGATCATAAGAAAAAGAAGCATTGATTATTATTTTAATATAAAATCAAAATATTAATATAATTTTTGTTTAAATATATAAAAATTTCATAGTTTGTTATGCTTAAATTTCTTTGCTATCTCTTCAAATATTTTCAATTAAAATTATTCAACATCCTTCTTTTTCTAATTATATTTACTTTTAGGAATAACAAACTAAAATGGTTTTTATTAATAGATTTACTATTTCTCAAATTATTCAATTTCTTTACTAATAAATAAATGAAATTCTAATCCTAATGCTATATATACCAATTTAACATAATATTAAGAGAATTCTAACATTCTTATTTATAAATGTAATTTCCAATAATTATATTAATCATCACTTATAATGCATATATTTATATTTTTCTTTTTCAATTAAAACTATTCTTAATGTTTTTCAAATAATTCAATAAGTGAATTATATCTATTATTTTATAATTAATCATAATTAAGAAAATAAAATTCTTATTTTATTTGCTAGTTATTTTCTTTCCTATTTACATAAACTATTTCAATTTTCTTAGAATTTTAAATCTCTTTAAAACCTTCCTTATAACTTTATTCTAAATTTACTATATATTATTTCATAGTTTCATTCATATTTATCAATAATACAAAAATAGATTCATTATCTTCTTCAATATTTTTTGGCTTTTATTATTATATAAAAGGTAATTCATTTAAATCTTAATAGTATAATATGATATTCACAAATAGTTAATTATTTGAATTTCCTTCTAATTAAATTAATTAATTTATTGAATTAAGAAATTGTTCACTCTAACAATCCATTAAAATTTATTTTAACTATTTTATTATATCATTAAGTTTAAATAATTTTTAAGATTATTCAAAGTTGTTATGATAATTTTCTTTGAATATTTTTTATTTAAATATAGTTTCAAATACAATAGACAAATGATTTTTAAGTAATGTAATAAATTTTTTAAGATGAGCTTTTTAATCTTGCAGATATTTGACTTCTGTTGAAAATAAACCTGAATATATTTTTAAAGCATCAAAAATTATATTTTCTAGTTTTATAAGAAAATCTAGATATATCTTCTCACTTTCTAATAATTTATCTAACTTAGAAATCATTTATTCATTAATTTGATCAATTTTTTAGATACACAATTCACTTTAATTAATTGAAGCTAATTATTTTAATTAATTTACTTTAGCATTTGATACTGCTAATAATAAATCATTAAATAATTGACTATCTATTTTTTACCAATTGCAAGTGTTACTAATGATTGATTTTATTATTGTTAATATTAATTATATTGCTTGATATTCTTCTTAATTATTATTATTATTATTATTATTATTATTATTATTATTATTATTATTATTATTATTATTATTATTATTATTATTATTATTATTATTATCTATTTCTTTTAACAAATCATTTATAACTCTTTAGATTTCTAAGCATTCATTTTTCAATTCTTAAGATGTAATTTCAGGTGATTTCATCAGGGTATTTAAGAATGATTTTTATAACATTTATAAAATGTGACTTATTTATTTAGTACTTTGAAGTTTAACATTTTCTGTCCATATTTCTTATCCTTTTTCTACCAAAAACAAGTTTCCTGGAGTAATTTCATTTATTAATTCTGATTGATTAATAATTGTCCTTACATTTTAATTTAGAATACTGTTTTATTGATATACTACTAATTATTTTTTAATATTTGTAAATGCTTCCCTAAAATTATTCTAAATTTCAAAAATGTTTTTCCTTTATGATCGTTTAATAATGTATTAAGATTTAAAATGATTATCTTATGGTTTAAACAATGTATTCAATTTTTTCAAAATTTTATTGGGTTGGGGCTATTCGCTAATTACAATAGTGATAAATTAAATAAAATATTTGCATTTTACTTCTTAAATTTAATTTTACAAGGATTCAGAGTCAAATGGTTCTCCCCCATCAGTAACTAATATCATTGTCATATATTGTGGATATTAATTTGCTAATAATGTTAGAAAGAGTTGACTCATTGTTTAAGTTAGATCTCCAAAATCGGATCCAATATATGGATTAATCCAATTTAAGCCTTTAGTCCATTAATATTGTTATCTTTCTGTTTCACTAAAATCATTAAAGACTTCGCCATATATTTAAATTATTTAATTGTATTCTCTTTTCATTGACTTAGTACCATCAAATAGAGTAATCGGAAATGATATGATTTGCTTTGGCAAGGGTGCTTAATATAGATTATATTGACTCATAAAATAATTATTTGGTGAAAAGTTTTTTGTATTATAAAAGGGATTATTTTTATTAAATTCTATTACCATATATAATAACACTCAAATGATCAAATTCTAGTATATTTATTATTCAAAGCACCTTAAGAATGCATAAGTTTTAGATGAAAACTTTTTAAAGATTAATCTTGCAATAATGGATTTTCTAAGAAGTTGGAAGGCTTTGAAAATTTGGTTATTTAAGTTTCTGATTATTCTCCTCCTCTATCTTTTCTATATTATTTTAATTGTTATTTGAATGTGGTTGTACTTAATGATTTATCACTAACAAAATCATTTAATCCAGGTTATGATTAATTTCTAGTATTTTATGATCCAATATTACTAACATAAACCTTCATTCTCTCAAAAACATCTAAAATATTATTATTATATTTTACTTGAATTAGGTTATTCAATATTAATCTATGATTTGGAAATAGATTCATTTCCTCCCAAACCTAATTTACCCATATAGCTAGCTAATTCTTCTCTTCTTTTATTTGATCTATTTTTATCTTTAATATCAATATTGATATTCATTTATTAATGAATCTTTGAATTATATTAATTATTATTATTCAAAGTTGAAGAATTAAATCCTGGTGAAGCACTTCCTTAAAAAAGTCCAATTTTTTAAGTTTATTTATTACTTCCTAAATATTTACCTGATCCATTTCCACTACTTGTTTCAACAAAAATATCTGTTTTATTAGGTGTTTTAAATTGTTACAATAATTAATCCAAAGGTCTGTTATTTCCTTTTTATCTAATTTCATAATTACTACTCTCTTGATATTCTTCATTTTCATGAAAAGGAGATTTCTTATTAAACAAATCAGTTAAATCACCCAACTTTGATGTATTTTTTAATCTATCAACTACATTATAATATTAATTTTAAGATCTTTAACTTATATTTAATACAGGTTCTACTTTTGATTCTAAAGCATCCAAAATTTGCATTTTCTATTATGCTATTTAAACTTTATGTTGTGTTTCTAATACTTACACATCAAGATTATTCCAACCTTAATTCCATTCTTATTGATTTATTTTACCATCATGATCAGCATCAAATCTCTTAAATATTTATGATTTCTATTCTCCACCTATTATAAAATGACTTTCATCTATTGTTCCACTCTAATCTGCCATAGATTTAAAGACATCAAATTTATTTTAATGTTAATTTATTAATTCTTTTGATGATTTCTCCCATGCAGTAGTAATTTTAACATCTTAATTAGATTCTTCTTGTTATTTAGATGATGAAGATTATTATTAAATTTCTTATTAAACACTCTCAGACATTTGATAATATTAAATTTTATTTATTTTTAATTTAGATCATATCAATAATTTCCATTATTTATACATATATATCACATAGAAGATTTTATTTAATGTAATAAATATTATTACTAAATTAAATAAAATTATATAAGTTATTCTTAAATCTTTTACTAAAACAAATATGAAAACTATATAAATATATATATATTATTACATTAGAATTTAATTAATTGATTTAATTTCCTTAAATATTTTATACAATTTATTATTATTAGTTTAATAATTAATTATTATTATTCTCTTCAATCTTTATTATTTTTTGAATTTTATCATAATTTTCAATTTCTAGTTTATTATTTAATATTTCTTATTTCTCATCTTCAAAAGTTTTAGTTGGTAACTTTTCAAAATCTTTATATTTTCTGAAAGCTGACTTTCGTTCCATATGATTGAATTATTGTTTAATCTATAATTATCCTTCAATTTCAATTGCTTCCTATTATTCTTATTTAAAATCTTATTATTAATTTTATTATTCTCCATTTATTGATTACATTAAAAGATTTAATTAATTATAAACTTACTTATAGTCATCTTAATTCAATTCTATTTTTTTATATATTACTTCATTTAAATGTTTCTTCTCAATTACTTATATCTTATTCTAACCAAATAATTAAATTAATGAATCCTAAATCTTTTATTTATTATAAAAATATATGTACTTTTCTTTTAATTCTATTATTATTTGATTAAAACACTAATGAATATTATGAAATTTGAGATTTTGACATAAGTTGCTTTTAAAATTCAATAAGATGATTTTCAACTTGAGAATTACCAGAATAATAAATACTAAAACATCTTGAAAACTTTAAAGCTAAAAAGAAAGGATGTTTAATCTAAAGAATAGTAAATTCTTTACTTTATTTCTTATATTTGGAGCAGTTAAATAATTATGTAATCCATTTTCATTATTATCTATAGGTGCATCAACAATATCATTTTAATACTTCTCCTTCTTACAAAAACTACGTTCTAAGTATTTTGGATCAAATAATGATATATATTATATTTATCTGTGTTCATCACGAGCACTTTTTCTACTGTCTACAAATATAGGAGGAGATTGTAAAGAAAGTATAATGTTTTCATTTTCTTTAATTACTAAAATTAATTGAAATCTATGTCCTTAGTGATTATAAGTAGTGCTATTAAATTTTACACCCTAAAATCGTTTAATTAATTTACTGTGAAAAATGCTCTGCCATCTATTAATTCACGTATTGTTGTTCCTTCTAATCCTACTTCTTCAAATAGATCAGGTTATAATAGTTTCACTGCCATGAGTTGAACCTATATATATATATTCTATTTTTCAATTACCTAACAATTTATCCATTATGCACATTAATCATTTTGTAATGATAATTTAACAGAGATGTTTGGTATGTTCCAACTTTTATGCCAATTCCATCCTAAATCATTTGTGTGTTGGAATTCTCTTTCTGTATCAATTTTCAAATAAACTGGTCCTAGATTTGGAGTAACTCTTTAGATAAGACTTTAGTATATGTTTTTAGTTTTTAAAGTACTTGTTGTTTAAGTCCAAGTGAAACCTTTTGGTTATTGAGGCATATAATCGATATAAAACAGAATTTAAATAAAAATTAGATTTTCTTTAAATCTCTTAATTCACTTATTAATCCTCTCATTATTGAACTATAAATTTATATAATCAATCATCTTTCATATATAAACTGAACATAATAATAATATCATGAAATCAAATTATCAATAACAAATGATGTTTAAAAATGAATCTCAAAATAAATATTAAAAAACAGATTTATTAAAATATATCACGCATTATTAAAAGATAAAGTTTTTATTAAATTTTATTAATTAAATTCGAAAAATAAACATAACATTTAGTATATATATTATAAATTGTAATTTACACTAAATATAGAATTAAAATAAAATAGAAAATGATATTTATTATGTTTATTTATTATGAATAATCAAATCATTCATTATGATGCTCCTGATTTAGGTCCTGCAGCTGTATCAGTTTAACCTGATTTAGGTCCAGATCCAGTTTCAGTTTAACCAGATTTTGGTCCTTATGATTATTCAACAACTCCTGATTTGGCTCCTGCTGTTTTTTCAACAACTCCTGATGCTGGTCCACCACTAACAGTGAATTATCCAGAAGCAGGTCCTCCTTTAACATCAAATTATCCTGAAGCTGGTCCAGATAATCTGTTCAATTTGATTGAGCTTAAACCTTGATTACCAAGTAAGACTGAAAGGACTTGATCTGCTACCTATTATTATGGTTCATAAGGCCATGAAGATATGAATTATCTTGGTTTATTAGTGAAGGCACCATCACCAAAGTTGAGATTCCAATTGAACATTGTACCTTCAAATTATTGATTGAATCCATCTCCTCCCAAATAGAACCAGAATTTATTAGGAACAAAGTGTTTCAAATCATTATATTGATTTCCTAATTCTCTATTTACGAATAGAGTATAAGCAAATGCTTTTCTAATCTTAGAATTATAACCAAAGTATAATAAGATCCATTCACCTCCATTGGGTCCAATCTTAGATGGCCATTAAATATCATTTTAATCATCATCATTACTATCTAAATCTCCATAATCATAAGTAGAGAATGTGAATGCATCTTTTTATAAGAAACATGCAAGTGTTCTATCACCTGCCAATGATTTATCTTTTTGAATTGCTGGATCATTAATAGTCAATCTGAATATCATTCTTGATAATTCATCAGCTTATCCTTTTCTAGTTTATACCCAACCAGAAACTGCATATTCAAGAACTCCTTAATATTGATCATATTATGTCTTAATTGGAATTCCAGCATCTCCCTTATTTACTACTTTTTCTTCTTTCAAAACATTTATGGAAGTTCTTGCAGGAACTGTCAATTATGGTTTTGGTTAGACTGCTAAAACATCTTTCAAGAATTATTCTTTAGAACCAACAAAACCTTATCCAAAGAAGATTCTTAATCCAGTAATCATACCATTAAATGATGGATATCCAAATTCATTATTAGCAACTACTACTCTAGCATAACCATTTAATGGATTATGAGCAATATCTATTAATTCAATTCTTGCAACTGTTTATCCTGGTAAATCTCCAAAGTGAACAAAACCAACAGCTCTAGCTGCATCTTAAGCAGTGAATGAATAATAGATATAATTCCAATGTCCTTCAAGGTAGTCATCATAATTTGAATTAGCTGAAATAGATGCCTTATTTGTCTTTTTATCATAAGTAGTGAAATGATAATATCCTTTACCAGCCCAAATTGCCAATACTCTATTTCCAAGAGCAACATTATCTTCATATTTCTCGGTGTTGGTCAATCTGATTAATTAATGGAATGGAGATTTCTCAACAACTCTATCTGGAGTAGTCATTAACCATCTTGTCCATAATCCATAACCATATTCAGTAACACCACCTACTTCTTCTTTAAATGTTAAGTCATATCCTGGTTTATCTTTAATTGGAACAAGTATAATTTCTTCTTTGGCAGGTTACCATTCAGATTTCTTAGCTTACAATCCCAATAAGTTTGGTAACATATTTTCATAATTTCCTTTATTTGGATCAATGTATGCTCCTTTTCCAAAGATTGCTCCTACTTTTCTCATAGGTCCATCCCATCCTCCTAATAAACCATCTGATCCTGCAAACAAGGCCAAATATTTAGGTATCATATGTAATACATTATCGTATGGAACAACAGCCTTATCTGATGGGAATTTTACTATACCTGAGGCAACCTTCTTTGGCCAACTATATCCGAACCAAACATAAGTCCAAACTCCAAAGTTGTTTCCAAGTGGAGTTGGTTTTCTAATATTAGCCACTTAACCATCATCAATAGTACCAAGAGTATATGTTGAGAAGACTATTTCATTTGGTTAGTACATAATCAAGAGTGTTCTATCTCCTACTATTGCTGCTTCTTTTCTATAAGCTGGTTCATTATTTGTCAATCTCAAAAAGACATTATTATCTTTCTATAATTTAGGTGAAGCATATCTGAACCATCCAAAGATAGAGTATTCAAGAGATTCTTGATATTGATTGGGCCATTCAGTTACTTATGGATTATCTCCAACTTTCTTTTCAACTTCATCTTCTTATATTTTGAGAACTTAAGTATCAGGAATATTGAGATCTGGTTATGGGAATGTTGTTTTAATTAAAGCTTCTAAAGATTCTACATCAGGGACATAACCTTGTCCACCAAAGAGCATTTGTAATTATGCAATTTTACCACTGAATCCTGGATAACTGAATTCCTTTCCTATAATTACTTTACCATAACCTTCAATTGGTTTATGTGTGATTTCTGGGAAGGTAACTCTCTTAACATCTCCTGAACCACTAAATTTGACATAACCAAGAGCCTATTATTTTGAACTAGCGAAACAGAAGTAAATGAAATTCCATTCTCCTTCCAATTTATCATCATATTTAATATCTTATGCAATAGTTGGTGTATTAGTAGCCAAATTATATGTTCTAAATCCATAGAATCCTTTTCCTAACCATAATGCAAGTGTTCTATCTCCTACCTTAGATTGATCTTAGTAATCTTTATTAACTGTGAATCTAGCTACTGATACCCATGCTGGTTTATCTAAGACTCTCTTTGGAATAGCTGTTAAATATCTGCTCCAGAATCCGATTGCATATGCTGAATGTCCATCTACCATTACTGGGTCAAATTCTTATTACAATGTTCCATCAAATGGTTATTCAAATTCATCTTTCTTTTCTGTCCATTTATATGGTTTAGCTTATACTCCTAAAGCACCTGCAATATATGGATCAAAACTCAAAACATCCTTATCTCTATAAGCACCATTTCCAGCCATTAAATACAATTATTAGTATTTGCCATTGTAAGGAGTATGAATTCCATCTTTTCCAACATATAATCCTAAGTATCTTGGAACTCTATGAGAAGCTGGCAATTTCTTTTCGCATTCAGTAGTTCTAGTCTTGTAGAAACTATAAACACTGGAAGCTTTTTTACTATAAGCATAATAAGCATAAACCCAAGCAGTTTAATCAAGAGCTGGAGTTGGACACTCTGTAAAGATTTATTAGAATGCATCATCAACATCTGGATTAGTATATGTACTGAAGAATTGTCTATGATCAGCATATTAGAATAATGATAACACTCTGTCTCCTGGTCTCACATGATTTCCTCTAATATTTGGTTCATTGTATGAAAGAGTGTAAACATTTTCCCAAGTTGCTCTAGCAATTGTAGACCATTTGAACCAAATTGATACTGAATATTCAAATTAGCCAGCAAACTTATCAGCAAATTCAACAGGAGCAACTTAAGCTACTTCTCTCTTCATATCTTTTGGTTCTTCAAATATGACTTCTTTGATTGGTTCTAATTCTGGGAATTTTGGCATTTCTGGTAATTATTTTCTAAGATCATCTGCGTTCTTATAGAAAGCACCATCTCCCAACATCAATACAACATTTGAGATATGTCCATTAAATGAATGATAATTCTTATTTAATTTAGCACCTGAACTACCAACACAGAAGTACAAATAATCAGACAATGGAGTATGATTAACTATTTCAGGGAAAGTTGTAGTTCTAACAGCTGCTCCTCCAAAGAATACATGTCCTACTATACTTCCTCCTTTTTCAAATTTCTTATATCCATAGTAAATGTAATTCCATTATCCATCCAATAAATTATTATAATTTACATTATTAACTAAATTAGCATTTCCTGGTAAAGATGTAGTGAAATGATAGAAACCTGCTCCTACCCAAATAGCTAATAATCTATCTCCAATTTAAGCAGCATCTCCTTAATAGTTTTATCTGTATGTCAATCTAGATAATGCCATCCAAGCTGGTTTGTCTACTAATTTCTTTTCACCATTCCAAATAAATCTTGTCCACATTCCATATCCATATTCAGTCAATCCATTAATGAAATCATCTGTAATTTCAACATCTTTTCCTAATGATTGATCTGTAGGTCCCCAATTATTTTAGAACATTTCTTTAGATTCCCAATTTTTAGGCTTTGGAATAACTCTTCCTCCAAATCCAAATGATAATTAATCTGATTCATCTACGCCATAATCTGAAGTCTTGTATGCTCCATTACCAGTATTGAAATACCATGATTCAAGGAAACCATTCCATCCACCATGCCATTAATCTTTTCCAAATTGAACATAAAATTGTGTTGGAACAAAGTGATTAACAGGTACATCAAAGTGAACATCTCTTGATGGATATTTAATATAAATGTGAACATTCTATTTCTATCTTGAATATCCTTAATAGAAATAAACCCAATTCTTATGCATAACTTCATCATATGGATTTGTTCTTTCAATGTTCCATGCTCCACCATGACCTTAATCAACAGTGTAAGTAGCAATATAGAAAAATCCATTACCTTTCCAACAAGCTAATGTTCTATCTCCTGGTCTATCAGCATTCTTTAATCCATCAGTATCTTTATCGAAAATTTATACTCTATAAAGTAAATGCCATGCTTAAATTTATGCTGGATCTACCCATCTAGCCCATCCTGAAATTGCATATTCATCTTTTCCTCTTGCTGATTCTGGTTTGACTGTTACCCAAACTGGTTCACCATCTGCCTTAAATTCTTTCTTTTCTTTCAATATGCTCAAACTTACTCTAGATTAATCAATTTAAACTTCATCTGGTAATTTCCATGGACCTTATATAAATCTTAATAGATCTTCTTTATTAGCAATATGGGCTCCTTAACCTAATCTTAATCCAATATTTAATAAATGACCATTGAAATTATTATATTTGAATACTTCAGTCTCTCCACCACATGTTAATCTCAAATAATCATTAACTAATTCATGTTTAACATTAAATGTTAATTCAGCAACATCTTTTTCATCATAGTAAACATATGCTTTAACTTATCCCTTCTTATAAGACATAGCAATTAATCTCCAATTACCATCAACAATCTTGAATGGAGCTTGTTAAGCAACATCATTATTTCCTTAAGTGTAAGTAGCGAAATAATAAGTTGGGAAATATTACCATGCTACAAGTACTCTATCTCCTGGTTATTGAGTATTTTTGTTAACTCTTTAAGTAGATAGTCTAGCAATAGAGTGAGTATGTGGTCTGAAAGGTAAATTCTTTGGTTCAGTTCTTGATGATCTAACCCATGCAACCCAACCATATTCATCTAATCCTCTAATATTATCTTTAGCATCTGTCAATTCAACATTTTAAACTATTTCATTACTATCAGAAATTGAAGGTATTAATTTATTCTTTTCACTCCATATTTCTATTAATTCAAATGGTTTTCTATATTTCTTTTCTCCATCAGCAAATTAGAATAAGTCATTCTTTTTAGTAAATGGTTTCATAGTAAATGCACCTTCTCCATAATTCAAATTAACCATACTAGCAGTACCAGTGAATCCTCTATGTGATGGGAAGAACTTCTTATAATCTTTACCAAATGACAAATAGTGTTTATTTACAACAAGATGCTTTTATTTATCAAAGACCTTCTCTACATCAGATTCTTAGAATGAAATATAATGGTATTGAATTCCTTTATCTCTTGAATATCCAGAATAGAAGAAGTGCCATACCAAATGTTAATCAGTATGAGGAATTACATGTTCAAATGTCCATGGTTATCCTGGATTATAGTTATAGGTATGATATTGATAATAGGTATTATGTTTGAATAATGCCAAGTCTCTATCACCAAATCTACCTTCAGTATTTTAATCACCATTATACAAACTCAATCTGAATACATTATACCATGCAGCACCAAGAGCTGGATTATCCCATCTAAGCCATCCTGAAATTGAGTATTCTGTTGAGAATTTACTGAAATCATTGGGTACTTCTACAATAACTTCCTCTTAACTATCTCCCTTGAATTATTTCTCACCTTCAACAACTTTTAATTATTTGAATTTATTATCATCAGCAGGTGGATGNTCTTTCAATATGCTCAAACTTACTCTAGATTAATCAATTTAAACTTCATCTGGTAATTTCCATGGACCTTATATAAATCTTAATAGATCTTCTTTATTAGCAATATGGGCTCCTTAACCTAATCTTAATCCAATATTTAATAAATGACCATTGAAATTATTATATTTGAATACTTCAGTCTCTCCACCACATGTTAATCTCAAATAATCATTAACTAATTCATGTTTAACATTAAATGTTAATTCAGCAACATCTTTTTCATCATAGTAAACATATGCTTTAACTTATCCCTTCTTATAAGACATAGCAATTAATCTCCAATTACCATCAACAATCTTGAATGGAGCTTGTTAAGCAACATCATTATTTCCTTAAGTGTAAGTAGCGAAATAATAAGTTGGGAAATATTACCATGCTACAAGTACTCTATCTCCTGGTTATTGAGTATTTTTGTTAACTCTTTAAGTAGATAGTCTAGCAATAGAGTGAGTATGTGGTCTGAAAGGTAAATTCTTTGGTTCAGTTCTTGATGATCTAACCCATGCAACCCAACCATATTCATCTAATCCTCTAATATTATCTTTAGCATCTGTCAATTCAACATTTTAAACTATTTCATTACTATCAGAAATTGAAGGTATTAATTTATTCTTTTCACTCCATATTTCTATTAATTCAAATGGTTTTCTATATTTCTTTTCTCCATCAGCAAATTAGAATAAGTCATTCTTTTTAGTAAATGGTTTCATAGTAAATGCACCTTCTCCATAATTCAAATTAACCATACTAGCAGTACCAGTGAATCCTCTATGTGATGGGAAGAACTTCTTATAATCTTTACCAAATGACAAATAGTGTTTATTTACAACAAGATGCTTTTATTTATCAAAGACCTTCTCTACATCAGATTCTTAGAATGAAATATAATGGTATTGAATTCCTTTATCTCTTGAATATCCAGAATAGAAGAAGTGCCATACCAAATGTTAATCAGTATGAGGAATTACATGTTCAAATGTCCATGGTTATCCTGGATTATAGTTATAGGTATGATATTGATAATAGGTATTATGTTTGAATAATGCCAAGTCTCTATCACCAAATCTACCTTCAGTATTTTAATCACCATTATACAAACTCAATCTGAATACATTATACCATGCAGCACCAAGAGCTGGATTATCCCATCTAAGCCATCCTGAAATTGAGTATTCTGTTGAGAATTTACTGAAATCATTGGGTACTTCTACAATAACTTCCTCTTAACTATCTCCCTTGAATTATTTCTCACCTTCAACAACTTTTAATTATTTGAATTTATTATCATCAGCAGGTGGATGTGGAATTCTATTTACTAAATATTTCTTCTTTGCATCATAATTCTTGACAAATGCACCTGGTCCTAATTTGACAGCATAGTTAGCAAATTAACCATTAAATCTTGGATAGAAATGAGGAGGTGCAGATCCCAAAGTGAATTTCAAATAATCAACTTTACCATGATTACATTTCATTGGAATATGGAATACTTCATCATTATTATCAAATTTCAAAATACCAACTGCCAATTAATCTTCCAATGAATAACTGAAATATAAGAATGTCCATAATCCTTCTCGTTCAGCAACATTAATTCTTCCTAACATATTTGCATCTCCTGGTAAATTATTTGTAACAAATAGAATAGCAGCTTATTCTTACCAAGTAGCTAATAATCTATCTCCCATTCTAATATTTCCTTCATCTTTATTCCATGATAATCTTGACATCATGTACCATGGTTCTAATCTACCTTCTCTCATTTAAACTGGATATTATTCCAAATGTCTGTAATAGAATCCATAACCATATTCTTAGATACCAGCTAATTCTTCTTTCCTGAATTCAGTCTAATAAACTGGTTTATCTTAATTCCATGCTGAATCTAATACTTCTTATTATCTGACTGGATCTACTTCTGGTTCTTTTTCTTTTACATTATCTTTGCCAATATTGTATCCGAAGATATCTTATTTATTATCAGCATAAGATTTAGGATCAAAAGCACCATCACCTCCATTAAATCTCAAATGTGCAATATTACCACTATATGATGCATATACTTTATCTTTAGCTGCATAAACTGAGAATTTATTTGGTAAATATTGGAATGTATTTTTGAAAAGTACTTCTGCATTTCTGTCTCTAAATTCGACTTTAGCTTATGCTAATCTTTATGGTCTAGAATATCCAAAGAAAATGAAATGCCATTTTGTATAATCTGTCTCATAATTAATATTCTAATATTAATTAGGATTTCCTGCAGCATTGACATTAGCAGCATGATAACAAGCAAATGTCAAATATCCTTATCCAACCCATGCACTTAAAGTTCTATCTCCTAAGAATGTTAAATCTTAAGAATCTTGAAGAGTTGATACTCTAACCATTAAATGCCATGCTTATTATACAGTTGGAGTCCATTTAAACCAACCNAAGAGCTGGATTATCCCATCTAAGCCATCCTGAAATTGAGTATTCTGTTGAGAATTTACTGAAATCATTGGGTACTTCTACAATAACTTCCTCTTAACTATCTCCCTTGAATTATTTCTCACCTTCAACAACTTTTAATTATTTGAATTTATTATCATCAGCAGGTGGATGTGGAATTCTATTTACTAAATATTTCTTCTTTGCATCATAATTCTTGACAAATGCACCTGGTCCTAATTTGACAGCATAGTTAGCAAATTAACCATTAAATCTTGGATAGAAATGAGGAGGTGCAGATCCCAAAGTGAATTTCAAATAATCAACTTTACCATGATTACATTTCATTGGAATATGGAATACTTCATCATTATTATCAAATTTCAAAATACCAACTGCCAATTAATCTTCCAATGAATAACTGAAATATAAGAATGTCCATAATCCTTCTCGTTCAGCAACATTAATTCTTCCTAACATATTTGCATCTCCTGGTAAATTATTTGTAACAAATAGAATAGCAGCTTATTCTTACCAAGTAGCTAATAATCTATCTCCCATTCTAATATTTCCTTCATCTTTATTCCATGATAATCTTGACATCATGTACCATGGTTCTAATCTACCTTCTCTCATTTAAACTGGATATTATTCCAAATGTCTGTAATAGAATCCATAACCATATTCTTAGATACCAGCTAATTCTTCTTTCTTGAATTCAGTCTAATAAACTGGTTTATCTTAATTCCATGCTGAATCTAATACTTCTTATTATCTGACTGGATCTACTTCTGGTTCTTTTTCTTTTACATTATCTTTGCCAATATTGTATCCGAAGATATCTTATTTATTATCAGCATAAGATTTAGGATCAAAAGCACCATCACCTCCATTAAATCTCAAATGTGCAATATTACCACTATATGATGCATATACTTTATCTTTAGCTGCATAAACTGAGAATTTATTTGGTAAGTATTGGAATGTATTTTTGAAAAGAACTTCTGCATTTCTGTCTTTAAATTCTACTTTAGCTTATGCTAATCTTTATGATCTTGAATATCCAAAGAAAATGAAATGCCATTTTGTATAATCTGTCTCATAATTAATATTCTAATATTAATTAGGATTTCCTGCAGCATTGACATTAGCAGCATGATAACAAGCAAATGTCAAATATCCTTATCCAACCCATGCACTCAAAGTTCTATCTCCTAAGAATGTTAAATCTTAAGAATCTTGAAGAGTTGATACTCTAACCATTAAATGCCATGCTTATTATACTGTTGGAGTCCATTTGAACCAACCCGACCATGAGTATTCTCCAACCAAAGCATATTCATCAAAAACTTTTTCATCTTTAGCACTATCTTTTCCAAATTCTTTTGGTGCATCAATAATATTCTTGGTTACAAGAGTTCTTTTGAATGTATCTGGTGATTTGAGTTCAGTAAAGAATGCATTGAATTCAGCCTCATCCTTCTTAAAGATTCCATCACCTACTGAGAAAAATACATTAGCAAATTGACCATTGAATGCTGGATAATTAAGTTATGATCCTCCCAAATAGAATTATAAGAAAGTAGGTGGAGTGTGTTCAGCTGCAAAGACAACCTTATTTAATTTTTCTCCATTATGTAAGAAACCTACTGATTATTTACTTCCAAGATTATGAGCAAAGTGTAAATAATACCAAACACCATCAATATCAGTTGGATTATTGATATTCTAAACCATATTTGGATTACCTTAATTATATGTAGTAAAGTGATATGAATTTCCTTAATTTAACCAAACAGCTAAGACTCTATCTCCAACAGTAATATCTTATAATTATTGATTCTTAGTTAATCTGGCAACAAATGACCAAACTTTATCAGCTAATCCTCTTGGCATTTGAACTGGATAATGGGCCATATGTCTCAACCAAAATGAATAACCATATTCATTAATATCATCCAAATCTGAACCAATCAATTTCTTTGTCCATACTGGATCTTTGCCATCAACTGGTGAATCAGAAACTCCCTTATTTTAGTCTTTATTTATATCAAATGTGGGTGATGGTTTGACATAAGCTTATTTACCTAAATTGTATGCAAAGATGTCATTCTTAGCTTTCTCATATCCACTTGTTCTGTAAGCACCTTCACCAACATTCAATCTGAAATATGCTGCAAGACCAACAAATGGTGCAGAGAACTTATCTCTACCAACTTATAATGAGAATCTATTTGGATAATAGTGTTTGTGATCTTTGAAAGTGAATTCTTCCATTCTACCTTTAAACTCTACTCTATAATAAGCTGCTTTCTCAATCAAAGAATATCCATAGTAAATATAATGCCATCTAACTAATTCTTATCCAAAGTTTAATCTATTCCAACTATCAGCATTTCCTCCTCCTACTAAATTATTATAGTTATATGTTGAGAATTGTAATACATTTGTTCCTGCCCAAGCTGCTAATGTTCTATCTCCTAAAGCTTACAAATTCTCTGGTCCTTAGAATATACTTAATCTAGCATATAAGAACCAATTTCCTGTAGGAGTGTTATCCCATTTGAACCATCCTGACCAAGCATACTCTGGTCTCAAAGCAACATCTTCTTAGAACATTTATTCTTTGATTTCTTATTTAGCATCATAGGGTTATTCCTTAGGAATTACTTCGAATGTCTTCAAATCATAATTGAATTAAGCTGGCATCTTGAATCCTGATAAATGTTTATTCAATGCAGCTTCATCTTCAATGAAGATACCTTTGCTAGCTGAAACCATAACATCACTGAATTGACCATTCCATGAATTGTAGAAGTCCTTACCTCCCAAAAAGAATTGTAAGAATGATGGTGGTACATGAGATGCTGCTTATTAGAATTTCAAGGGCTTTTCTTCACCATATTTCAAGAAGGCAACACTTGATTTCTTCTCCAAATTATGACTGAAATGAATGTAAATCCAAACACCTTCAAAATCTGGTCTCACTGCTGAATTAACAAATGCATTTGGATTACCAGCATTTGTAGTAGCAAAGTAGAAGGCACTATTTCTATTCAAGAATATAGCCAAAGTTCTATCTCCTAAAGTAACATCCTACAATTTCTAATTCTTTGTTAATCTTGAAACAAAGGTCCATTCACCTTACATTCCTGTTCTTTATGGAGTTGGATATTAAGTCAAATATCTTGCCCAGAATCCATAACCATACTCTTCAGCACTTGCTACCTCATCCTCAGGCAATACTTTAGTATATGATGGTTTCTCTTATGTTGGGGCTGCACTTACTAAAAGATCTGTTGCTCTATCTTTGATATCAAATGGTTTCACTTTAGTCTAAACAAATGGTGCACCAAATCCAAAGAAATCTTTATCATGAGTGAAATCTTCTCCCTTTCTAAATGAACCAGCTCCAATATTGAAATTAATTGCTCCAATTTAACCATTGAATCCATTAATTCCATCTTTTCCTACATATACATAAAATCTTGGAACGAAGTAATGGTTAACCTTATCCCATGATAATGATTCTGCTCCCTTATTGTATTAAACATAAGCATATGATAATCTATCATTTCTTGAATATCCATGATAAACAAAGAACCATCTTAAATGTCTATCTTTATGTTCAGCCTATTTCCAAATATTATTATTTCCTGCTCCATTCATATTTACATAAGTGTATGTACTCTAATGAATATTACCAAATCCAATCCAACCTGCTAATGTTCTATCTCCCAATATTGCTGTATCTGTTGGTTCTTTCTTTAATAACACTCTGTATAAATTCTACCATTGATTAGCTGGAGTTCCTTCAATCCATTTATACCATCCACTGATTGAGTATTCAACTTGGAATCTTTACTTCTCTTCTCCAAATTCTCTTAAGAAAAATTCATCTTCTGGTTTTCTATTGATTGGATCTTTGATCAATAAATAATTCTATGGAGTAGTATCCAATTTAGGATATGGATTAGCATTAACATATTTATTCAAAGCATCCATGTTATCAACATAAGCTCCTATTTATGATGAGAATGTAATTGATGTGAATAAACCATTGAATCCTGGATATCTCTTATCATCATTACCACCAACAATGAATCTCAAATATTTAGTCAATGGTTAAGTTGTTTAATGTGTGATCTATTTGAAGTTCTCATCTCCAAACTTAATAAAACCTTATGCTTTATTCTCTTCTACACTGTATGAATAGTAAACATAAGTCCACAAACCTTCAATATCATCTGGATAATTAACATTTTGAATCATATTTGGATTTCCAGTCAAAACATTAGCTGCTGTGAAATGATAATATCCTTGTCCTTACCACATAGCTAACATTCTATCTCCCATTCTAATATTATCATATTTTTCTTAATTAGCTAATCTAGCAATGAAATACCAAGCTTCATTCTTACCATTGTTTAATCTTTAAGGATATGCTGTTAAGAATCTCATCCAAAATCCATAACCATATTCATCAAATGGATTTTCTGAAGTAGCAGTCTTATCATGTATTGGTTTATCTTAATTGAATGCATTTTCCTTAATTGCAGGATCTGAATCAGCTGGTTTAAATCCAGTGTCTGGCTTCTTTAATTTATCAATACCAGCTCCAATACCAAAAGCATCATTGGGATGAGTGAAATCTTTAGCATTTCTAAATGCTCCTTTACCCAAATTGAATTGAGCATATGCAATCTTACCATTCCAACCTGTGAAGAATTTATCTCTTCCTAAGAACACTTAGAAGTTTGGTGCATAGTAATGGTTTGTATTATCATAATTTAAGAAATCATCATCTGTTTACCATTTGATATAAGAATATGCCTTAGCTTATGTCTTTGAATATCCGAAATAAATGAAGAACCATTTAGTATGTCTATCTTTGTGTTAGATATTCTTCCAAACATTTGCATTACCACCTCCATTCATATTAGCATAAGTATATGTTGGCATATGAATAATTCCTCCTTCACCTGTTCCAATCCAAGCTGATAATGTTCTGTCTCCCAAGAATTGATCAGCAGGTTTTTCATTTAATGAAACTCTGAAAATGTTTTACCAAGCATCTTAAGGAGCTTATTACCATTTGAACCAACCACTAATAGAGTATTCTAATGGGAATCTTTCATTATCTTTTCCAATAGCATTAAAGTTTGGATCATTAGTCTTCTCTCTAAATATTTCATTTGTAATCAATCTATAAGTTTATAAATCAACTTAACCAACTGTTGGATTCTCTAATTTATTCATATATCCTTTCAATTAATCAGCAGTGTCAATGAAAACTCCTTTAGCTGCATCAAATGTGACTTAAGTGAAAATACCATTGAAACCAGGATATCTCTTAGCATCAGTACCTCCTAAAATGAATCTGACATATTTTGTATCTGGATGAGTAACGTCATGTCTGATTGCTTTGATTGTATCTTCAGATCCATATTTGATAAAACCAACAGCTCTTGATTTAGCTTCACTGTATGAATAGTAGATGTATGTCCAAACACCTTCAATATCAGCTGGATAATCGATATTTTAAATAACATTAGCATTTCCATTAACAGCATTGCAAGTAGTATAATGATAATATCCTTATCCTTACCAAATGGCCAATAATCTATCACCCATTCTTACATTATCATAATTTTCTTGATTAGCTAATCTAGCAACAAAGTACCATGGTTAGTTCTTACCACTAAGCATTCTTTCTGGGAAGGCTGTTAAATATCTCAACCAGAAACCATAACCATACTCTTCTAAATTATTATCTTATTTAACATTCTAATCAATTACTGGTTTATCTTGACTTGTTGGACTAATTAATAAATCTTTATTAACTTATCCTGGTTTAACTTCTTCTTATTTTTCAAATAATTTAGCTTATCCAACATTGAATTTGAAGATGTCTTATGGATGATCAAATTTATTATTTTTAACATAAGCACCATCACCAGCATTGAAATTAACATATGCAATTCTACCATTGAAACCAACAAATGGTTCATCTCTACCAACCCAAACTTAGAATTCTGGTGTCAAATAATGATTTATTTTATCATAGGACATGCTATCTTCAGAATCAAACCATTTGACATAAATCTAGGTTGCAGCTTAAACTTTAGAATATCCATAGTAAACATAGAACCATTCATTAATTCTATTCTTGTATTAAATGTTTTTGAAGAAATTGTTATTACCTCCCCCATTCATATTAGTATAAGTGTATGTAGGGAAATGTAAGATTCCTCCTTCAGCAGTACCAACCCAACAAGTAAGTGTTCTATCTCCTAATACACTATCAGTTACTGGAGTCTTTTTAATTTGGACTCTGAAAACATTATGCCATGCTGCTTATGCTGTTGGTTTCCATCTGAACCAACCACTCAATGCATATTCTAATGGGAATTTGTTATTGCTTCCTATTGATTATACGGCACTTGGTTTTTCATCCTTATCTCTGGCAATTTGATCTTTCAATAATTCAGTTGTTTATAATGGAACAATAACGCTTGGTGCTTAATTCTTGAGTAAGTAAGCATTCAACTTATCTACATCTGAAACAAAGGCTGATTCAGTAGAGAATGTCACTGATGTGAATAAACCATTAAATCCTGGGTATCTTTTAGCATCATTACCACCAACAATGAATCTCAAATATTTAGTTAAAGAATGAGTAGTTTCATGAACGATTCTTTAGAAATCTGTATTACCATATTTAATGAAACCAATAGCCTTATTTTATTCTGAACTATATGAGTAATAAACATAAGTCCACAAACCTTCAATATCATCTGGATAGTTATTATTTTGAATCAAGTTGGGATTGTTTGTAGCAGAAGAGCATGTTGTGAAATGATAATATCCTTATCCTTACCAGATAGCCAATGTTCTATCTCCCATTCTAATATTATCGTATTTTTCTTAATTAGCCAATCTGGATACAAAGTACCATGGTTAGTTCTTTCCATTTGGTAATTATTCTGGATATTTAGATAAGAATCTCATCCAGAAACCATAACCATATTATTCAAATGGTTTTTCAGAACTAGCTTCTTTATCTACAACTGGTTTGTCTTAACTTGAAGCATTTTCAAGAATATTCTTATCAGCATCAGTAGGCTTGAATTCATCACTTGGTTTTTTTAAGAATTTATCTGTACCACTCTTGAAACCGAATATATCTTTTTCATGTGAATAATCAGTTGGTTTTCTGAAAGCACCTTTACCAATATTGAAATTAACTTCACCCAATTTTCCATTGAATCCTGGGAAATGATCATCTCTACCTGTAAACACATAGAATTAAGTTGCCAAATAATGATTGGTTTTCTCATATGCTAGTTGATCTTCACCATCTGTCCATTTAATGTAAGCTTAAGCTAATTATTAATCTTTTGAATATCCAAAGTAGAGGAAGAACCAACTAGTGATTCTGTTCTTGTGTTAAATATTCTTCCAAACATTAGCATTACCTGCACCATTCATATTAGTGTAAGTGTATGTTGGTAAATGGATGATACCTCCTTCACCTGTTCCAACCCATGCTGATAATGTTCTATCTCCTAAGACATTGTCTGTAGAAGGTGTTTTAATTTAAACTCTGAAAATGTTATGCCATGGTGATTAAGCTAATGGTTACCATTTGAACCATCCACTGAATGAGTATTCTGCTGGGAATCTTTCTGTTTCCTTTCCTATAACCTTTGCGAGTGGTTTATCCTCAGAAGTTCTGGTCAAACTATCTTCAACTAATTTGTAATTTGCTAAATCATTGAATCCTGATGAAGGCTTATTTAATTTACTAATGAATCCTTTCAAGAGATCAGCAGTATCAATAAATGCTCCTTCTTTTGTGCTAAATGTGATTTGTGAGAACACACCATTGAATCCTGGGTATCTTCCTTCATCATTACCTCCCAATATGAATCTCACATATTTAGTTTCAGGATGGTTAACATCATGCTTAATTGATTGTATGTCATCATTTCCATATTTGATATGACCAACAGCTCTGTTCTTATCATCACTATATGAATAGTAAAGATATGTCCATAATCCTTCAATGTCTTCAGGATAATTGATATTCTTAATGTAATTTGGATTGTTATCTACTTTGTTGCATGTAGTGAAATGATAATATCCTTATCCTTACCAAACAGCTAACATTCTATCTCCCATTCTAATATTATCATATTTCTCTTAATTAGCCAATCTGGCAACGAAATACCAAGGTTGATTCTTTCCATTTGGTAATCTGACTGGATAGTTGTGTAAGAATCTGAACCAAAATCCATAACCATATTCTTCAAGATCTCTTTCAGCAGGTGCAGCCTTATCAACAACAGGGTTCTTTTATTCGAAACCATTTGTTAATTCTTCAGTAATTGGTGTTCCTGGTTCAATTTAAGCAGCAGGTTTCTTAACTAAATTATCTACTCCTGATTTGAATCCAAAAGCATCTTAAGGATGATCGAAATTAGGATCTTTTAAGAATGAACCATCTCCAAGATTGAATTTCACATAACCCATCTTACCACTAAGTCCTGGATATTATTTATCTCTGCCAACAAATACATAAAATTCTGGAGTCAAATAGTGTCTAACATTGTCATAAGTAAGACTATCATCAGTAGATGCCCATTTGACATAGACTTAAGCCTTTGAAACTGTTCTAGAATATCCATAGTAGACATAGAACCATTCAAGATGTCTTTGTTTGTGTTGAATGTTTTTGTAGAGATTAGTATTTCCTCCAGCAACCATATTTTCATATGTATATGTTGGGAAATGGAGAATACCTCCTTCAGGAGTACCAACCCACATTGTTAATGTTCTATCTCCCAAGAAGTTATCAGTTGATGGTTTCTTAATTTAAACTCTGAAAATGTTATGCCATGTTGCCTAGGCTGTTGGTTTCCATTTGAACCAACCACTAATTGCATATTCTTATGGGAATTTCTAATCACCTCCTCCAACAGTGGCTTCTTTTGTAATGTCTGCTTCAGAACTTCTACTAATCTAATCAACCAATCCAACAGTTGTCAATTATTTCAATCCAACTTATGGAACTCCAATCTTTGAGACAAATGCTTTGAATTCATCAACTGTACCAATATAAGTTTAATCAATTGAAACTCCTGTGAATTAACCATTGAATCCAGGGTATCTTCCTTCATCATTACCTCCCAAAATAAATCTGACATATTTAGTATCTTTGTGTTAAGTTGAATGGGTAGCTGTTTATGGAGCATCGTTACCATATTGAATGAATGCAACTGCTTATTTATTGGCTCTGCTGTATGAATAATAAACATATGTCCATAATCCTTCAATATCATTTGGGAAATTAATATTTTAGATAAGGTTGGTATTTCCATTTGCAATATTACATGTAGTGAAGTGATAGAATCCTACTCCTTACCATATAGCTAATGTTCTGTCTCCCATACCAATATTATCATATTTTTCATTCCATGTCAATCTTGAGACAAAGTACCATGGTTAATTCTTACCATTTATTTATCTTTCTGGATAAACTGTTAAATATCTCATCCAAAATCCATATCCATAACTTGTTAATTCTTTGTCATCTTTCAATTCTTTGTTCAATGCTGGTACTTTTTGTCCTTCTGAATTATCAAGAACTTTAGAATCTGGTTTGGTTTCTGGTTATGGTTTAGGTTAATCTTTATGGTAGGTATCAACTCCACTGCCAAATGAAAATGGATCTTTTGGTAAGTTGAAGTTCTTGTCAGCAACAAATGATCCTTCACCAATATTAAATTTGGCTTATGCAATATTACCATTGAAACCAGGGAAATGTTTATCTCTTCCTGTGAAGATATAGAATTTTGATGCAAAGTAATGTCTTGTGTCAGGGTATTCAAGAGTATCCTCTGATTAAGTCCATTTAATATAGACTTGAGCTTTGTTTTAATCCTTTGAATATCCAAAGTAAATGAAATGCCATTCAGTATTTCTACCTTTATGTTAAATGTTCTTGAAAAGATTTGAATTACCACCACCATTCATATTAGTGTAAGTATATGTTGGTAAATGAATTATGCCACCTTCTGCTGTTCCTAGCCATGCTGATAATGTTCTGTCTCCTAAGACATTGTCTGTAGAAGGTGTCTTTATTTAAACTCTGAAAATGTTATGCCAAGGCTCTTATGACATGGCACCCCATCTGAACCAACCACTAAATGCATATTGATGAGGCAATCTCTTTTCTTCTACTTCAGTTGCTACTGGTTCATCTTTTGGAGTTCTGGATACCTCCTTATCAATCAAAGTGGTAGTAGTTAAGTCAACTGATTTTATACTTGGTTTAGGTCCTTAAGTATCTAATAACTTATTAAGATTAGGCTATGAATTAATGTAGGCTCCAATTCTGTTATTGAAATAAACATTAGTGAAAAGACCATTAAAAGCTGGATATCTCTTTTCATCTGTGCCTCCCAAAATGAATCTAACTTATTTAGCAGCTGGGTGGGTGACTTAATGAGTCACTTATTAGAAATCACTTTCTCCAAACTTAATAAATGCGACTGCATTATTCTCTTTTGTACTATAGGAATAGTAAATGTAAGTCCAAACACCTTCAATATCATTTGGATAATCGACATTCTTAATCACATTAGCATTGTTACTCTTTTAATCACATGTTGTGAAGTGATAGAATCCTTATCCTTACCAGATAGCCAAAGCTCTATCTCCCATTCTAATATTATCATATTGAACATTTGTTGTCAATCTGGATACAAAGTACCATGGTTAATTCTTTCCATTTGGTAATTATTCAGGATATTTTGTTAAGTATCTCAACCAATATCCATAACCATATTCAACAAGATTTTAATCACCTGCAACAGTCTATTTGTCAACTTTTGGTGAATCAACACTTGAAGCACTTGCAAATACTTATTTATCAGCTTCTGGAATTGCTTCTGGTTTAGATGGTTCAACAGGTTTAGCAATTGCTTTAGATCCATCTAAAAATCCAAATCTATCTGTATCATCAGTGAAATCATTTCCTGACTTGAAACTACCTTTACCAATGTTGAAATTAACAAATCCAATTTAGCCATTGAATCCTTAGAAATTTGGATCTTTGCCTAAATAAACAAAGAATTTTGGAGCTAAATAGTGATTAATTTTTTAGAATGTTAATGTTTCTTCACTATCCTTGAATTTGACATAGGCATAAGCCTTTGAATCTTTCTTGGAATATCCATAATACAAAAAGAACCATTCTTAATGTCTATCTTTATGTTATATATTTTGAACAACATTAGGATTTCCTGCTCCATTCATATTATTGTATGTATAGGTAGTGTGATGTAAAATACCTCCGGAAACAGTACCAACCCAAACAGCTAATGTTCTATCTCCTAAAAATCTATCAGAGAATGGTGAATTAATTGAAACTCTGAAAATGTTATGCCATACTTACTATCCTTATAATTTATCCCATCTGAACCATCCACTTAAAGCATATTCTTATGGTAATTTAGTTTATTCATCTCCAACAGTTTCACCAATATGAGCAACAGTTGGAACTCTTTCTATTTATCCTGCAACCAGTTTCTTGTTAACAGCTGGTGTATCAACATCAGGTACAATTCCAATTCTAGGTCTCAATACATCTAAACTATCAATAAATGCTCCTTTTTCATGAGAATATGAGACTTTAGTGAATATACCATTAAAGGCTGGATATCTATTATTATCCATACCACCTAGAATAAATCTAACTTATCTTGTTTCTGGATGTGTTATTGAATGAGTAATAGACTTGACTTCTTCATTTCCATACTTAATGAAACCTACTGCTTTCTTCTTTTCTGCACTGTATGAATAGTAGATATATGTCCAAACTCCTTCAATATCAGCTGGATAATTGATATTTTAAATGACATTGACATTTCCATTTTATTTATTACATGTTGTATAATGATAGAATCCTTATCCTTACCAGATAGCTAAAGCTCTATCTCCCATTCTAATATTATCATATTGAACATTTGTTGTCAATCTAGCAACAAAGTACCATGGTTAATTCTTTCCATTAATTAATCTAGCTGGGTAGGCTGTTAAGTATCTAGCCCAGAATCCATAACCATATTCAACCAAAAGATCATTTGATGACAATGTCTTATCAACATTTGGTGCATTATTATTGAATTTGCTTCCATATTCAGTCTTATCATCAACAACAGGTTTTGTTGGATCAACTTTTGGTACCAATTAACTTCCTTTATCAAATCTGAATGCATCAGTTGGATGTTTGAAATCATTTCCTTTTCTAAATGATCCTTCTCCATGATTAAAAGATGTTTATGCTATTCTTCCATTGAATCCTGGGAATTGAACATCTTTACCAACGAAAACAAAATATTTCTTAGCAAAATAATGATTAATATCTTTGAATTCTAAATTGTCTTCGCTATCTCTCCATTTGACATAAGAATAAGCAGCTTTATCATTCTTTGAATAGCCCATGTAAACAAAGAACCATTCAAAATGTCTATTTTTATGATTGATATTTTAAGGTAGATTATTTGGTCCAGCTCCATTCATATTCTTGTATGAGTAGGTTGTCAAATGAATGATACCTCCTGCTCCACTTCCAACCCATCCTGCTAAAGTTCTATCACCATGACTATTATCTGTTGATGGTTAACTAATTTGGACTCTGAAGAGATTATGCCATGCCTATTAAGGTGTAGGTTATTCCCATTTGAACCAACCTGAAAATGCATATTCTTTAGGGAATGGGGCTTCAACTGTTTATGTATTTCCTGGTGTTCCTGGATTTCTTGTAATTTAACTGTCAACTAAAGTAGTAGTTGTCAAAGGAACTTTAGATGCTAAAGGATTTGGTTGTTTATTAAGGAAAGCCTTGAATTAGTCTATTGATCCAATATATGCTCCTGGAGAAGCTGAATGAACAACTGATTAGAATTAACCATTGAATGCAGGATATCTGTTGTTGTCTTTACCTCCCAAAATAAATTTAACATATGTATTATCTGGATGAGTGACTTAATGAACAACATCAATTGGATCTGTAGCACCAAATTGAATGAATGCAACTGCCTTCTTCTCTTATTTACTATATGAATAGTAAACATATGTCCATAATCCTTCAATATCAGCTGGATAATTAACATTCTTGATTACATTAACTTATCCTGGTAAGTTGCATGTGGTGAAATGATAATATCCTTATCCTTACCATATAGCCAATGTTCTATCTCCCATAGCAATATTATCATAATTAGGTCTGTTAGCCAATCTGGAAATGAAATACCATGGTGCATTCTTTCCATTAGGTAATTTAACTGGATAAGCAGTTAAGAATCTCATCCAAAATCCATAACCATATTCACCTAGTGGTTATTCTGATTTGAATTCTTTTGTGACTTTAGGTGTATTGTCAGATACTCCATTTGGAATTTAAGTTTCTCCAGTTTCTTTATCGACTTCTGGTTATACTTTCTTTTAATCTGGTTTTTTGAGGATGTTGATTTCACCTTTTTATAATCCGAAGATATCATCTGGATGTTTGAAATCTGGAGTTTTTCTGAATGTTCCATCTCCTAAATTAAAGTTCACATATGCCAATTTACCATTCAATCCTGGGAAGTGCAAGTCTTTACCAGCAAATGTGTAGAATTTAGGTGCATAATAGTGATTGACATTGTTATATTCTAAAGTTTCAATACCTGAAGCGAATCTAACTCCAACAAATGCTTTTTATTAATTCTTTGAATATCCAAAGTAAACAAAGAACCAATCGAAAATTCTATTCTTATGTTGAATGTTGCTAACCATATTTGGATTACCTGCTCCATTCATATTAGTGTATGTATATGTTGGGAAATGTAAGATTCCACCTTAAGCAGTACCAATCCAACAAGATAATGTTCTATCTCCTAAGAATCTGTCAGTTGATGGTTTTTTGATTTATACTCTAAATACATTGTGCCAAACTTATTATTAAGTTTATTCCCATTTGAACCATCCAGAAACAGCATATTCATGTGGGAACATTTCTTGTCCTCCTCCAATTTCATCATAATCTGGAATATCATTTGGTTTTCTGGAAACAACATCAGAAATTAATTCATGATTATAGAATTAATCCAAATCTTATTTTGGTATGATTGTTCTTTTCAATTAATCTGAAAAGTCTTCAATTGTATCTAAAAATGCTCCTGGTCTAGCAGAAAAAGTAACTTAACTGAATAAACCATTAAATCCAGGATATTATTTATTATCCATACCACCCAAAATGAATTTAACTCTCTTTGTAGCTGGATGTTAAACTGAGTGTAAGATTGTTCTTGGTTCTTAATCTGCATATTTAATGAAGGCAATAGCTTTTTTAGCTTCTGAACTATATGAATAGTAAACATAGGTCCATAAACCTTCTATATCATTTGGATAATTGATATTTTGAATTACATTAGCTTGATTCTTTGGTTAATCACAAGTAGTAAAATGATAATATCCTTAACCTTACCAAATAGCTAATAATCTGTCACCCATTTCAATATTTTTGTAATTCATATTAGAAGTTAATCTAGAAACAAAATACCATGGAGCATTCTTTCCATTTAATAATCTATCAGGATAAGCAGTTAAGAATCTCATCCAATATCCATAACCATATTCAACAAACTCATTTTCATCTTCTTAAGTTTCTTCAATGACTGGTTTATTTTCTTCACTTGAACTTGGTCTAATCAAACCATCAGCATCTGCATCATCTACTACTTTATATGGTTTCTTTTATTTTTCAGGATCTTCTTCAGTATCAATTTCTGGTTGAACACCAATCAATTTCTTTTTACCACTTTCAAAATTAAATGGATCTCCTCTTCCAGTAAAATCATTATTTGGTTTGTATGATCCTTCTCCAACATTGAAAGATACTAATGCAACTTTACCATTGAATCCTGGGAATTATTTGTCTTTTCCTACATAAATGAAGAACTTAGGAACTTGGAAGTGTCTAATATTATCATATTCTTATTTATCAGTTGATTATTTCCATTAAATTGAAGCAACAGCTTTCTTTTAAGGTCTTGAATATCCAAAATAAACAAAGAACCATTCAGTATGTCTATTTTAGTGTGGTATGTTCTTAATAACATTAGGATTTCCAGCACCTTCCAAATTAGTGAATGTATATGTTGGTAAGTGAATAATACCTCCATCTTATTTACCAACCCAAGCAGATAATGTTCTATCTCCCAAGAATTTATCAGTTGATGGTTATTGAATTTGAACTCTAAAGATGTTATGCCATTCTTATTATTATTTAGGTACTTCCCATTTGAACCAACCACTGAATGCATATTCATGTGGGAATTTAGGATTTTTTGATGTTCCAACAATAGAAAGAACTTCTTTAGTTTCAGGATCTCTTTATTATGGATTTGAGACTACTTTATATGTAATTAATTCAGGTAAGAAATCTTTTGGTTGTTTCTTTTATTATTACAATCTACCAATAACATCATCTTCAGAATCAAGGAAAACACCTGGTTTAGTACTGAAATAGACTTATTAGATCAAACCATTGAAACCAGGATACCTATTTTAATCTTTACCTCCAATAGTGAATTTAACCCATTTTGTTGATGGATTTAATACTTCATGAGTAACCTTTTTAAGATCATCATTTCCAAATTTGACAAAAGCAACAGCCTTCTTTTTTTCAACACTATATGAATAGTAAATGTATGTCCAAACACCATCAAAATCTTCAGGATAATTAACATTTTAAACAACATTAGGTTAATTTTTTGGTTAATCACAAGTTGTGAAATGATAATATCCTTTACCTAACCAAACAGCTAATAATCTATCTCCCATATTAATATTTTCATCTTTTTTATTGGCACTCAATCTGGAAACAAAATACCAAGGTGCATCTTTTCCATTAGGTAAGAATTTTGGATATGCCAACAAGAATTTAGCCCAATATCCATAACCATATTCAGTAAATGGTTCCTAACTTTCTCTATCTTTTTAATTAACAGGGTCTGGATTAGTAAAATCAGCGGGTTTCTTTTTGTTTGATGAATCTTCATCATCTTCTTCATCAGTTGTACTACTTGGTTCAGAAACACTTTATTCTTATTAATCTTCTTCTTCTGGAACTCTGTCATCTGGTTTTGGTCTGACTGGTTATGTTGGTTAGATAGGTTTTTTGGTTTCATCCTATCCTTATTATTGACCATCAGGTTTAGCTGGAATTACTACTTATCCATCATCATCTTTTGGTTTAATTCTGACAATGGTTCCTTGGCCATCAGAACATTCTTTAGTAATTTCTCTAACTTCATCAGCTTTAGAATTGATAATGTTGATTGTAATCTAAAATATATATTTAATAATTTTACTTAAGGTCCTTTTTAACATTAATTTCTAACTTATTCCCTCTCTTTCATTAATCTATTAATTAATTCTTCTATTTTGTCACAACATTATTCTAAGTCTTTTTCATTCTCAGCAGTATCTAATAAACTTACTACTCCTTATAATTCCATAGCACTATCTTTTCTCCATCTTTAATATGGTGTAATTTATAAATGTCCTGCACTTATTTAACTCATAATATCTGAGAATGAATTTCTGAATTGCAACAACACTAGAACTATAAAATATATTTATTACCAGGTTATGCATCATCATAACCATTTCCACGAAAATCTTATAATGCCACCTTTAATTACTAAAGATTATTCGAATCTGTGCTGAGCTAGTCTTAATTCTCTAAGATTTCTGACCATGCATCAATAGAAGTGCTCACTTCTCCTAACATTGGACTACACTCTAATTAATTTGTCTCCAATTGATGCAATTCACTTAAACTATGCAATTTTAGATTGCTTCCTAATTAAATGAATTGTTAAGCTAAATTTAGCTATTAACTCATACCTCCTAGCGTACAAGCTAGTAATAACACTATAAGCAGCGTTTTATTATTCATAAATAAAAAATAATAATGAATATTGTATTATCATAATCCTTATAATTACAAGAAAAATTCGTTTTTTCCATTCTTCATCAGGGATTATAATTAATTAATATATATAAATTTCTGTTAATATAATGAATCCTCATTAAAAATCCCATGGCAGAAATCCCCCCATTTAAATTAGTAGTTTTAATTATTCAATCAATCTTCAAGTACCAACTAAATTTCTATAAGAAGACAGTTTCTCTTCACTTTAATATTTTATTATCAATTTATTATTATATATATTCAGCATTTTCTTGTATTAATTAATGTCACAATCATCATTTTTCTAATTTCTATAAAAAATCTTAATAGAACAAGCTGTTTTAGAAGGATATCAATTTGCATGTAAACGAAATTACCAAGGATCACTAATTTTTACTGCACTTTTAATAATAAATAATATTTAAAAAACTATTCTTCCAGAAAACACTCTATTTCATAAAGTAAATAAAATAATATAAATAATCTTTCATGTTTTTCAACTTATTCAATTTATTATATAAATAACCATATCTATAGATTAAGAATAAATAGTTAAATTAGATATTTATTACTATATATTTATATTCCATATATTTTTTAAGCTTTAATTTTTTTCATACTAATAAATTTTTATTTGTCGTACCATAATGAACATACTAATAATTTTATTTCACTATACATAACAGTTTAGATGTATTAAAAAGATTTTAAACTTGAATTTTATTAGGATACTTGAGTTTATGTAATATAAATAATACAAAGAATACTAGAGATTATAAATAATTTTATATTGTTTTTGTATATGTTATAAATCTCATTGATTTTATGCTGTTGAATCCTAAATTTTGGAAGTCATTTCAAGATAGGCTGCATTCATTTTACTAGCCAAATCATTTCCTGTTTCAGATTCAAGAATATTTCCATTAATATCTGTGGCTGTATAGGAAATAACACCAGCATTGTTTGAAAGATCAACTATTTCTCCAACAATTCCTGGAACATACTCAGAATGAGTTTCTGTGAATGATGTGTGTTTTTTAGTTTAAGTCTCTTTTTCTGTTGTAATTTGTGCCCAATGTTCTAAGAAAGAATATAGATAATTAATTAATTACAAGCTTCTTTTGCACTCAAATGATAATCTTTATCTCCTAAATTTTCAAATTCAAAGAAAGCACTATTAAAGGTTCTAGCTTTTTTATTATGAACTGCTTTATGTGTTTTTCTTACATGTCCTGCTGTTACTGATAATAATAAGACACAGATGAGAATTGCCTTAATCATAATTTATATTATTATTAAAAATCGTTTTTACTTCTTTTTGGTTTTAAATTTTTATTCAATATATCTATCATTCATCTTTCATTTACTTCCATACTAATATTATTATCCATATTATCAAGAGGAAAATAAACATTGGCCAAAATACAATACAACTTTAATTGAGCAGCCATGTGACTGTTAAAATAATCAAGGCCCATTTGCATGTTTTATAATTTATACGATTATTGAGATCATGGAAACTTAATGATAAATGAAACCATCTAGTATTTTTGCAAGGTATTAAAATACAACAACCATCAATGCATCTACAACAAGCAGAAAGAGAAAATTAAATTAATTAGAGTAATATTATTGATCTAATGAAATTACAACCCTCAGGAGTTTCATAAATTTTCTTTAAAAACACTTATGTAAACATAAACCCTAAAAAAACAAATAACCAATATGCAAAACAACATTCAAAGCAATCTGGTTGTTTTCTTGACTTTTTAACTCTTCTTTATAAATCTTATAAGTATTATTGTCTCAATTTCTCATCATTATTATTTTCTCTTACTATAATTATAAATTTACGTATCATCTATTTAATGGGTCTTCTCTTCTTCTCGATTATTCATAGAATTAAAAAATACAAAATTACAATTTTAAATTATTATATTTATATATATATATAATGTTTAACTATATTCAAAAATTTTTGGCATATTTATCAACCTACATAAAAAGTTCATTATTATATACATTACAATTTTCCTTAATCTATCAACTCCCAATTTATTTTCTCCTGTTATATTATCTAATAATAAAATCTCTTATAATTATTACCTGATTTATAAGGTGGTGAAATTCTTATTGAAATAGATGGAATAATAATCTCTTAGTCTTTCCAATCAACATCTCTATATAACTTTTATAAATGATCAAATAATTGTTAATGGGGTTCTTTCATTTCTTTTTTTAACATTTCTTATGCCATAGCTGCCAAATCGATAGCCAACAAATTTTATAACGTTTACTATGCTTAGTAGAACGCATACTTTAGGATCTTAAATATCAATGGTTTGTAATTCTTGTATTGATTGTTGATTAATTAAAAAAAAGTCATCATCATTTTCTATAATATTTGCAATTTCATTTATACTTAATATAATGATAGATTCATCACAATAATATATGAGTCCTTGAAATACATCACCATAATTTGTTGTGACTTTAGCTTACATACCAAATAATTATAGTTTTTAAGTGTCTGTTGTCAATAAAGTCCATTACTATTTCGACATAAATTAATAATTTATTTAATATTATATATTTTTAAGCAAAATATTGAAAGAATCTATACTCAAAGACAATGTATCTGATTCCTTCTTTACAATTTACTATGGATTTATCTTTTCCTATGTAACACTTTATTTGAAGGTTAATAATTATGAAATTACCAATTCTCAATCATTTCTATTTTATGAGCTGATAAAACACTAAAACAAAGATTAATAGTTATCACAAGAAGTATTAAACATATAACTATTATAATAGATATAGTTGATAATGATTTGATTCCAAATCTTGAGATAATTGAAATTGAACCATAAATACCAAGTGCTATAAAAACTAATTAAATTATCCAACAAAATTTAGTTGTCAATTTTATATTCTAAAATTAACAAATATCAAATCTATTAACAAAATTTACTTTATATTCTAATTTATGTTTACAAATTTCACAATATAACTAAAAATATATAATGAGTACATTTTTATTATAAATCTTATTTACACCAAATTATTCTAAAATCCACATCTTTAAACATTCTTCATGTACAAATTCAGTAGAACCTTTACATTTACATGGTGAAATAAAATTTGAAGATTCTTCATCTTAAATGCATATTCTGCAATTTTTTTCTAAATTTTTGATATTAATACTTAATTCTGATTAAATAGTTTCAAGTATGTCATTTGTATATATTCTACAACCAACTATTTTCTTTCTAATCAAATCCTCTAGTCTAATTCATAATGTTACTCTAGAGTAAATTGTCTTTAATATTTTTTTTCTTTATTTCTATGTTTTCAATATAATAGTTTCATTAATTCCTTGATCAGAAGTATTTAAAACTAAAAAATTTGTATTTGGAGTAGTTGCCTAATTTCTATCATCACTCATTAATACGAAATTTTAAGGATAAATGCAATTAAAAAATAAATAATTAAAATATTTTTCATTATTCTGATATATTTGGACTTGTAGCTAATTAGCTAACTTAAATTATCTATAAACTAGTTGGACCATTTGGATGAATTTAAGCTGTCTTTTTCTTAGCTATAGGACTTCCACTTATACTTTAACCCATTTAAGATTATAATTAAAATATACTACCCTATTTAGTCTCTCTTCTTGGTCGATAATTACATATTGTCCATTCCTCAATCATTTCTATTAAATGAAATTCAATCACACTAGCTATGAATTAAACTATCATTATTAAACACAACACAATTAATAATGTCATGACCGCATCAATACCTATGCTAGATAATCCAAACTTGTTAAATAATACTATATATTATTAAGCTTTACCAACTATAGTACTGATTATACCAAATATGAAGAAGAGTTAAATAAGCCAACATATCTTTTAGTTTTTTGGTACATCCCAAAATCGAGATTTATCAAAGTGATTATGCAATTGCATCCTCATACTAAACTTTTGTGAACATAATTCACATTTAATCTAATTTCTATTTTAATAAAGTACTTTGTCTTGAAATACATCGTTTATACCATTTTTCTATAGGATCCAAAGTTTTAAGCACTCTTCATGTACATACTACAAACTTCCTTTACATATACAAGGCATTATAAATCTTGAAGTCTCTTCCTCATTCATACATATTCTACAGATCACTTTTGTTATTTCAATAAAATATACTTCCTCTTTTAGATAGTTATAATTACTATTCATTCATTTGATTCACATATATGTTACAACCTATCAACTTTTTTCTTTTAACATCCTATATCCAAATCTCATATTACCTAATAATAAAATGTCTTTAAAATTCCTTTTTTCCTAATATCCTTTCTTGGTGAAATATACTCATCAGATTAGATATCAAGATTAACACTTGGTATAAATTACATTGAAGAATTCAATGGATTAAAATTTCGATTAGGAGATTATTACGTAAATCTTATATCACTCATATTTGGATTGGTTGACATAAGGTTTTAATATTTTTATTATTATATATAAATACAACAATTATCTTTATAATTTATAACCATAGTATTAATAATACTCCCGAAGTTTTCATTTGAAAATTTAACTCTTAAGTTTTAACATTTTATATTTTATATTTTTTAAAATTAATAGACATAAAATTGTAAATAATTTTATTTTTTAATTTAACTCATAATTCTCCTGAATAATGGAAATAACTAATATTAGTTTGCAACATTGTAAATCCTATTTATAAAGTATTCTTAATAATAATATCAGCTATTTCCTTAACCTTATTTTAGTCGATCACAAAATCTTTCCAATTTTCATTAAGAAGATTATAACTTTCATTTCTTATTGGATTTCCATGCCTTTGATTTATATACAATATCCTTTATGAATAATTTGAATGAGGAACTGAAACATAAGTTAATTTTCCGTTTATCAAACTAACATATATTGATTATGAATCGTGTTCCTATTATGCATGCATATTTAAATTACCATATCCTTAATTTGAGCAATTTTTCAGGCAAAATACTTTTGAACATAAGATACAAACGAGAATATCTTCACTTTTAGAAAATTGCTTATTATATGATTTACAATAATGACATAATTTTGAAAAGTATTTATCATGAAATTATTAAAAATTTTGACCCAAAATATTAATTATCTAATTTCTTATATGGATTTACAATTTCATATAATATTCAGCAAATTCATCCTTTAATTATAATTAATAATCCTTATTCTTTTTTGATTCCTCTTTTAAATTTAATTATATTCCAAAGCATTAACATAATATTTCCATTTCTTATGAATAATTATGATAAAATTTGGTTGCTAATTTTAATATCTCAGCTTTTAATATATCTGAATTTTATGCTTTAATTATATGTTTATCTATAGCATTTAATAAAAATATTAAAATTGACTTGCCAGATTAAAAATTATAATTTAAATTATGTGTCCATCCACAAATTTTATAATTTTCTATTGTTAAACTTAAAAAATTTATTAATTGCTTCAATATTAAATGTTAATCTAATTGCTAAAACTCTTTAACATTTATAAATAAATTTTAAATTAAATTAATAATTAACTCTAGGTATATTTCTACTAAAATTAATAATTCATTATTTTGATATTATTGGTAAATTGCTTAATTCTTGTGTAATTGTTTGACTACTTATAATAAATATTGATTAAAAGATTGTAATTATTAATTATTCATATTTTCATCCATAGGCATTTAAATATTAAAGCATTTTAAACATATTGGACAATTGTATTTTTGCCATTCTGGAAGATTTGAAGATTTTTTTTGGAACAAATCTCCGAAAAACTATTAAAAACAATTATCATGATATTTATGAATACAATTTTCAATTGAGATTGCTGGAGAATAAATTGAATTATTTGATGCTTATTCAATTATTTATGGTATTATTGAATAATTATTTGCAGGTATTCTATTTGATAAGAATATTAACATAACTTTATTAGATTGAAGTTCTAATTAACAAAAATCACATTTTTATTATTTTACATCATTTAACAAATGCTAATTCATCAAGTTCTATATAAATTTTGAGGATTTCATTTTATCATATTTGAGTCTATAATGAGATTTAGATGCCTTAGCTTTTTATAAAAATATATTAGAAGGAGAAAGATTAGGAATATCACCATTAAATGATTATTTCTACATTAATAAAATTAAAAGTTCAAAATCAACTTAATATTCCTAAAGTTTTTGATTGTCTCTTAAGTTTTATAATTAATTTAAAATATTTTGTGTTTAAATTTAAAGATCATTTTTATAGAAGTAATTTGCACAAATAAGTTAATAGTAAATAAATTAAATGAAAATTTATGTTTAAATAAACCCTTAACTTATCAAATTAAAACTTTAGAATATAGAAGGAATAGAACACATAACTTAAAGTATATTTTTTCTAAGATAATGATAATCTGGTTAATTAAATTATTAGATGTCATATTCAAGGCCATTACCAAAAGTAAGCACTCTTTAAGTCATCAATTTACTCTATAGTAATTGTAATAACAATTATCTAAGTTCTTGATCTAAAATAAATAAATTAGGATCATAAATCTATTTATATTCTTTTTTTAAGGTCAATTTATTCACAGAAGTATCAAAATAACAAAATTTTAAGATGTGTTTTTCTAAATTTGATGATATTGATATTCCCATTGTTTAAAATTTAATCATTATTGTAGAATATAAATAATAAGAAGAACTAGCTAAAATGTTTTATATTAGTTTCTGTAAAGCCTATTGTAGAATGTTTGGTAAATTATCATCTTTTTCAAAATAGGTAATGCATATATTAAATACATCTAAATCTGAAGTCATCATTCTCATAAAATATTCACTAAATTAGATAATAATAAATACTAAGTTATTTCACAAGTCTATCCTATTGTTGGAACCTAAATAACTTGAAATGCTTAATAAATATCTGAAAGTCCTATGGAATCAAATAGAAAAAGATACAATTTACCAAATGCTGTGTCAATTGATTCAGATTTAAAACAAATCTTGGTTGAACTAATTCCAAAATAATCTTAGATAACGTCTGGATCTTCAGTATAGTAAATTGTTGTAAAAGTTTAAATGCATCTTTACAAAATTTTTTATAGATTATTTTTAATAATTTCTATAGGTTCTTCTAATAAATCTGATAAATATGATCTAAAATCAGCAGGATTTTTATATTCTTTTTAACAAAAATGTACATATAAAAATATGATAAACATTTTATCCAATAATGATGCATTTTTAAAAAGATGTATACACATTGATTTTAATAAAAAACTCTTTTAATCATTTGTTTAATTCATTTTATTTAATTATTAATCATAAAATTATTTAATCTCTTGATCCAATGATGGAAATATGTTTCTTTTAAGTTTGATAAAATTATAACATTTAACTATCAATAAATTAATAAAATTTGTTTAAAATTATTTTGTACTTAATTTTGATGAAAAAAAATTCTATATTGTTAAGTTTATAATATCAAGAGCATATCCTTAAAAATCAATATAAACCAACATATTCTCTTTATCAATCACTCTAAATGAATAATCTCCTTTATAAGATTAATATACAGATGGAAAAGCTTCACTTAAACTATTTATCAAAGTTGTAATAATATGATCATTCATTTGATAATTTTTTAAAATTTTTTTATTAACATTTTAATTCATAAAAAGATTAAAATCTTTTCCTAATATTTATTAAAATTGAATCATGCAAAGTTCTCCTAACTCTTTTTATTATAATTAAGTATCCATAAATTCAAGTGGTTATGTTGGAGGATTCATCCATTGTTCATTTGGTGTATGAAGATATTAATATTGTTTTTAAATCATTTTAAATAATTCATAAGTATAATTTCCAAATACATATTCATTCAAAATTGATATATCTTAAATCGAACTAAGATACTCTAGAAGTTCGCAATTGTTTACATCTACATTAACTAATTTTGAAGTTTATAAAGCTTGAAAATATTATTCAGTTTATTTAATTAAACCTTAAACAATGCCATCATTATCAGAGATATATTCTTCATCTCCCATCAAATTTTCGATTTATTTTATTGAATGTTGAATAATATCACTATTAGGAGTGACTATGATTTTAACATAAGAAGTAAAAGATTGAAATTTCTTAAAACATAATTAAATAAACGATTGTTTAAACTAATTTTTAAAAAGCTTTAAAATTAATCCTGATAAATTAAAATTTAATTCAAAATATTCTAAAAGGGGTTCAATAAATCCATAATTTTGTAAAATGGATTCTAAGATTGAATATTAAGGGTTTTGCTAAAAAGGTAATTGAAATAAATAAGAAACAAAATTTTATAAAGTTGGATTATTATCAATTATAAAATCTATGCCAAGATAAAATATTTCAAATAAAAATCTAGTTTTGCATATAAGTTCATAGTAATTGCTTATCTAAAATTTTGAAACAATTAACTTTTCTAGTTTTGATAAATTTTAATTCAAACTAAAGTCATAAAGTACTAGCAAAGTAGTTGGAAATTAATGTATTTACTTTGAAATTTATATAGAATATTATTCAAACAAAATTGCAAAAGCTCTAATAAATTACTCAATATTTTAACATAAATCTTAGGGTATTTTTTAATTTTGATTAATTTCTGATTAATGTTTTTAATTATGAATACTACAAAGACATTCTTTAAATATATCAGTATTACCACAATCACATATACCTTAAATGGTAGTTGGAAAAAATTGATGGCCTAAATAAAATTGTGTTTGATACCTTTATGTTTTTCAAAATCAAAACATTCTTGACATATCATATTTTATATATTTTTTGAACATGTAAAACATTGAAAGACAATTTCACCTTTTTCAATTGTGTTTTAACATTAAAATTTGGGGACTTTTGTTTATTGTATAAAATTAAGATGAGACTGCTAATTTGAAATAAAAATAGCAAATATATCCTAATCTTCAAGATCTTTATCATAATGATTGCATCTTTGATCTAATTTTTCAATTAATGACTTCATGGATGAAAATATTTATTAATTATGATGAAATCACTTCATAAGCTAAATATATTAGGAAAAGAATTGTAACAGAATTAATTTAAGTACATATAGATTATTGAACATAAATTATAAATAATATGGGTTTATGATAGCTCATAAAAATGAAATTAATAATGAATAATTTAAGGTATTAAGATTTTTTGATTTTAGATGTTAATAGACAAGTTCAATTAAGTAAAAGGCTATTAATGTGATAATCATATATAGTTTTTGAAATGGTAAAGAATAATATTAATTAATTGCTTTCATTTTAATTTTCTTTATGCATCTGACTTTAGAAACTGAATTAGGAGTTAATAACTTCATCATCAACGATTTTCCAAAAGATGAATATGCTGATTTCCTTAGTCAAAAATCATTATCAGAACATGGCTTTCCAGTTCCAGAATTAAAAAGAAAACATGAGGATGCAATGCCACCACCTAATTCTAAAGATTAACAACTTAGTTTTATGATGAGTCCAATAATGTCACCTAGTTATGAAGGATGTAAAACAAATGAAATATTAATTGTTAAACCTACACCTCATGTAGGTACATAGACATCGTTTTAAACTAATTATTCAAAATTACGAAATTCATAATCAACTGTTGGAGAAGACATGATGAGATATTTTTAAATTAGAAGATTTTTTAATAGGTTTATGCGTTCTATGCATCTTTTCAGTAGATTATAAAAGCATCATTTAGATGTTTTGAATGACTCTGCTTCTAGTTATGATCCAAAAATATTTGGTCAAAGATAGTTTAATTTTAGACCTTTGGGAATGATTAAAAATCTAAATCTACCAAAGGTACCCTCTTTTAGTTAGAAAATAGAAAAAATATTAAATAGAATTGGTTAAACAATTAAATAGAAAATTGAATATTGGGATTAAAATATCAGAATATTTTAGCCTGAAGAGAGAAAAAAGATTTTATGGGATAGTTGTTTATCAATATCTAGATTATACTTTATAATATTAATTCCAATGGATATAACATTTGAACAAGAATTTTTATACTCACATTAATTATTTATACTTACAGTTATTATGACAATTCTATTGATGCTGGATATTCTTCTAAATTTCAATACTGCCTATTATTAATTTGGACTTATTGTAAATGAAAGATCTAAAATATTTAATCATGTAATAAGTAAAGCATATGGTTGTGATGCAATATCAGTAATATACTTATTTGTATTAATGTTTTTAAATTGGGATGATTATAGAGAAGAAAAATAATATATATTAATTGGTTTATTGACATTTGTTGGTTAATATTAAAATATTACTAAATTAATTAGATTAAGTGAAGAAGTATTAAATTTGACAAAAGTTACTGCATCAATTTTAGAATTAGTAAAATTGATAATATTTTTAATTTTTATATTACATGTTGCAACTTGTATTTGGTATGGAGTATGATATTAAATATATTATTAGGTAGGCAATTATGGATTCAAATATCTAGGATCTAGTTGGATAGATAAATATCATTTAGAAGATAATAATTGGGCTGAAAGATATTTAAGATCTTTTTACTTTTGTACTGTTACTATGTTTACAGTTGGATATGGTGATTTAACACCTTAATGTAATAATATCATTATATTTAAGCCAATCTAGAATATACTATTTGCATTATCTTTATAATGATATTTAGTATTCAATTGCCTTATAGTGTTAATACTGTTGGAGCTATTATTGATGAAATATCTAAATATAGTGAATAGAAACTCTAGAAATTAAGAATTATTAATACATATATGACTAAAAAAAAGATTAGTTTTTAATTACAATTTTAAATTAGAGAATATTTAAATTATTATTGGGAAATGGAAAATACTCAATAATCAAATGAGGAATAAGTTATTATAGAATAATTATCAGAATAATTAAGGGAAGAATTAATGGTAGAAGCTAATTCAGTTGTACTCAATAATTGTTCTCTTTTTAAAAAAAACTTTTCGTATGAATTCAAGAAAGCTCTTGTTAAAAAAATTAGAACTGTTTCAATCCAACCAGAAAATATTATTGATTATTCTACAGAACCTGATGCTTATTAAAATAATTATCTTACATTTATTGAATCAGGAGAAGTTGAAGTTCAATTATCTGATCAAATTTTCTAACCTGGAACTACATTTCATAAATTGACTCCTGGTTGTATTTTTGGATTATATGAATTTATAACTGGATAAGAGTAAAAAGAGGTATATAAAAGTGTTGGATTTACTAAATTACTTATATTACCTAGATCTGCTTTTTTAAGAATTCTAAAAGAATTTTAAGAAGATAGAGAAAAGTTTTGTTAAATTAGAGATGATTTATTATATAATTTCTCAAAACAATCTCTTAAAAATTTAGATATTTCTTGTTATGTTTGTTAATCAAGAGAACATCGTTCAAAAGATTGTCCATTACTTCATTTTTGTCCAGATAAAGAAAGAATTATCAAATCTTATAACTTTGTTAAAGAATAAATTAGAGAGAGGTCAATTAGAAAACATATCAATAAATATGAAAATCGCTTTATATATAATAATGCTTTATTAGATTTCAAAGTAGTTAAAGAGACAGCTGAATATATTTAAGATGATTTTTGGTAAGAAACTCAAATTTATGATTTGGATTTAGAAAATGGATAAACGAGTCCAAGCAATAATAATAATGGTGCTTTAGGATCTCCATAACATTCATCAAGTTCCGATGATGAAAAAGATGAAGTTGTTTAAGAATTATCTAGACCATCACTTAATTCTTCATAAAAATTTCCAAGATAAACTAGAACTACAAGATTATTAGAAATTAATCAAATGAAAAAATTATAAGCTAGAAAATCTAGTATTTCCCCTATGATTCCAAGAACTTCTTCATATTTAATTGAAACTTAATAATAACCTAAATTATCTATTTTTCATTAATAAAATTCACTTCACATAAATAATTAAAATTCTGATGAAAAAGTACAATCTTAAGATTCAGAATTAAAAAATGAAACTTCAATTTAATTATCTAATTAATAATCTGATTCTATCAAACCAGCTATCAGTCCAATGAGATAAAATTTTATGAAATCAGCATTAAAAAAAGTGAATGACAATAATTAAAATAATTAAAGTACTACTAATTAAGAAGAAGATAAGGCCAAGAAAGTAAAAGTAAAATTTCAATAAGCTTTTACTTTTATAAAAAGATTAAAATAATTGAAAGTTTCAAAAGAAATTGAAAAACCAAGAATGCAACCAAAATAATAGACAATGGTAGTTTAAAAATAGAATTTAAATTTAATTTAATAAAGAATACAAAGAAAAAGTCATACATTAACTTTACAAGATTAAAATAAATTAGACTTATTAGTATTGGAACTTAATAATTAATTAAATAATAAGTTTTAAGAAGTAGAGAATTTCGAAAATAAGAAAGATTTTAAATTCTATTAACCTCATAATAATTTAGCAAATTTATAAATATCAACTAAATATCATCCTAAATTCTTGAGCAATATGAATCTTTATATAAAATATTTTTTATATCCAGCAGAATTTATCAAAAGATACAAAAAAAAAGATCCAACAATATTAGAAGTTAAACCTGTTTCTTTTGCAACTTAAATAAATGCATATAAAGATGTATTAAAATTTAGAAAACAAGCTAGAAAAATTATAAACAAAAAATAAGTAGCACCAGAATAATGAATATTGATTTTATTATGATTTATTAAAAAAGAATCACTCTAAATCATTATAAGGAGTAATTCCTTCTTATCCAAAATAATTAAATCTCCCTGTAGCAACATTCATAATTGCTGTATAAAAGGTACCTTCATTATGAATTGGATATGTATTTATAACACTATAAACTCCCAATTCATTTTGCATAGTGCTTGTTAAATTAGCTAATAAATTTTCTGCAATTGTTCTTCTTTGATCACCTTTTGGATCCTTATGCCAATGATCATAGTTTGTCTATACCATATATTAAAATTAATTATTTCCTAATCCAGTATTGTTGAAAAACAATGTTGGATAACTTGATATTGGATCTCTAGATATAATTGCACCTTAATTGTATCCAGTACCAGCTACAATGTTGTATTGTGAACAGGCTACAATCACATTTTCTAAATAAGTAACGGCATCATCAAAATTATTAATATCAGAATCAAGAATCTAAATATATATTAAATTTATTTACATGTCTAAATGTCCATCCTAATGATGTTGTTCCTGTTGCTATTTTCTTTAATAACATAAATAATGGTAAATAATGTCCATATCTCCAATTTTCTTATAAAGAAACAACTCCATATTTAAACATAGTTACAAAACCAGTCTTAAACCAATATTAATCAACAGCTTCACCAATGTATTAACCATTTTTTATGAATTTAAAATGAATAACAAGTAATCTGCCTGCGTCTGGAGATTAATCCATGTTTCTTCCATGAATTATACCCTCCTTTGTTTATAATAATATGGCAGTGCATTCTTTTATATTGACTGATAAAGAATGACCAATTTCATGGAAATAAGCCCAAGCAGACATATATTCAAATGTTACATCAGATCTATTAAAAGCTTCAACAATTCCTTCAAGTTCTTAAGCATATTAAGGCCAATGAGTTCTTACAGAGGTAGCTAAAACATCATAGTCCTTAGTAGTTAAATGTTTAAAGGTAGTTTCATTATGATATGAAAAAAAGGCACCAAATGAAGCATCATATCCATATGTATTTAATATTAAATAAACTGCTGGTTAGAATCTCTGTTTAGCTGGTCCATCTAAATCAATATCTAATGTTGGAACTATTGTGTAAGCATAAGTTATAGCTAATATCAAAAAGATAATGGCAAGCTTCATATTATTATAATAAATGACATTTTAAATATAAGTAATTTTATAATATTATCTATGATGACTTCATCATTTTTATATTATTATCTCATTCATCAGATAATGTGATACTTGGTTATCCAAATGCTATTAATCTATTGTATTTGGCATTCATGATCACTGTATAGAAAGTTCCTTCATTGTGAATAGGATAAGTATCCATAACAGCATATACACCAAATTCATTTAATAGATTATTTTGCATCTTTGCTAACAAATTTTCTGCAATGGTTCTTCTTTGATCATCTTCAGGATCTGGTAACCAATGATCATAATTTGTCTAAACCAAATACTTGTATCCATTTTAACCTTAAGGTAAACTACTTAATGAAATTGTTGGATAAGTTTCAAATGGATCTCTTGAAATAATAACTCCCTAATCTTTACCAGTTCCTCCAATAATATTGTATAGAGCACATGCAACTGGGTTTTATTCAAGATATGATACAACCTTTTAAAAAGTATTCAATTTTTCATTCACTAAAACATCTCTATATGCCCATGCCAATGAAGGTACTCCTTATTAAATAAATGTTAATAATTGATCTTTACTCAAAGGATCACCAAATCTCCAATTCTCTTCAAGTGATGCTACATTGTATTTCAATAATGTAACAAATCCAACTTTAAACCAATACCAATCAACTGATTCTCCTAAATATTTTCCATCTTTCTTAATTGTCAAATGCAATACTATATTTCTTGCTTAACCTGGATATTAATCCATATTTCTGCCATGAATTATTTAATCACCAATTGATAATAAAACACCTGTGCATTCAGTAATATCACTTGTAATGTGTCCTATTTCATGAAAGTATGCCCAAGCAGCCATATACTCAAAAGTAACTTCTGGTCTATTGAATTCTTCAACAATTCCTTCTAGTTCTAATGAATATTCTGGGAAATTCTTTCTTATTGCATTTGCTATTGTAGTATAATCTTCAGTAGTCAAAATACTGAATGTATTTTCATTGTGAAACTGAAATACTGGTCCAAATGAATTATCATATCCATATAAACTCAATACTGTTCTAACTGATTCCTTCCATCTTTATCTTGGAGGTGCACTCAAATCAATTTCTACTTAAGGAAGATAATTGAAACAATAGGCTGTTGCTAATAGCAATAATAGTATTTTGTATTACATGGAATAATTTTATAATAATTGATGAACTTAATATTAAATTTATATTATATTATGATGACTTCACTTAAATAAATTAATGACTTCACTATCTAGTCATTCCTTCTTACTTTTTCTTGTTTCCACCCAATTTATTTTACTCATGAATATATTTACTATCTATCTTCAATATATTTGTACAATAATCAGACAATTAATCAAATACATTTTTTTGTAAAATGATTTCCTTTTATTATTATATAAATTATACTTTTCCTGCATTTTTACCAGCTCCATCATGAATACCAATACCACAATGGAATGCTTCCTGCATTTATTTAACCACAAATGCAAAACTATATATATCTTCAACCTTTCCTGCATGATCAAATCCAAATTACTCTAAACCTACTATTCTATTCACTTATTAATTATGTTATTTTTCAGCTATTATTTACAATCCCTTAAATTCACCTTATTTCAATTCACTTTAATTTAATCTCAAATTTTTAATTTTATAACTCTTTTACATTAATTCTTCAATTCTCTTATGTAGCTTTTCTAAAGAAATCTAATTTTATGGTTATTTTCTTTTCTATTCTTTTTCTTTTTCTTTTTCCTTATCTTATTATTAATCTTCTTATTATTCATCTTCACTTTCAGATTCATGTTCTTTTATTCCTAATTCATTCACCAAATCTTCTGTTAAAACTATCATTTTCTTTTCTTATTTCAAATTCTTCTTTATATATTAATTTAATTAAGATATATATTATTCTCTTGTTAATGGTTCTACTTTTTAATTTTCTTCACCTTCCTTAGTAAATATTTTAACCAAAGGACCTACTGGTAAAAAAAGATCAATGACTTCTATATTCTATTTATATTAAACAACTTAATTCTTTTCTTCCTTCTCTTCATCACCTTTCTTTGCAGCTTTCAATACAGTTGGTTCCCAATCACTAATTTATTCATTTTATCTATCAATTTTAGTTATTGAAGGTTATCCTCCCTTTTTGATTTCTTTATATTCAATTAATCCATCCTTTTACATTGTCTATAAAAATCTATGAAATATAAATATAAAATTACTTTCCTATCTTTTAATAAGATGAATTCTTTAAATCTAATTCAATTCCTGGTTTCTTAAATGCAAGCATAAACTTTTCATAAAATACTTAACCTTCTATAGGTAATTACTTATCATTAATTCCAATTTTACAAGCATTTAAAAATGATTCCTTTATGTATTCATCCATTACTTTTGTTGGAACACCTCCAACTTATTATTATTATTATTATT